TTTGGCATGGGTCCTCAGATCCTCAAAAAATTCTACAGCTGCACCATCGAGGGCATCCTGACTGGTTGCATCACCGCCTGGTATGGCAACTGCTTGGCCTCTGACCGCAAGGCACTACAGAGGGTAGTGCGTACGGCCCAGTACATCACTGGGGCAAAGCTCCCTGCCATCCAGGACCTCTATACCAGGCGGTGTCAGAGGAAGGCCCTCAAAATTGTCAAAGACTCCAGCCACCCTAGTCATAGACTGTTCTCTTTGCTACCGCACGGCAAGCGGTACCGGAGTGCCAAGTCTAGGTCCAAAAGACTTCTCAACAGCTTCTACCCCCAAGCCATAAGACTCCTGAACAGCTAATCATGGCTACCCGGACTATTTGCACTGCCCCCCCACCCCATCCTTTTTACGCTGCTGCTACTCTGTTAAGTATTTATGCATAGTCACTTTAACTCTACCCACATGTACATATTACCTCAACTACCTCAACTAGCCGGTGCCCCCGCACATTGACTCTGCAACGGTACCCCCCTGTATATATAGCCTCCCTACTGTCACTTTATTTTACTGTATATATAGCCTCCCTACTGTCACTTTATTTTACTTCTGCTCTTTTTTTCTCAACACTTTTTTTGTTGTTGTTTTATTCTTACTTTTTTTGTTTAAAATAAATGCACTGTTGGTTAAGGGCTGTAAGTAAGCATTTCACTGTAATGTCTGCACCTGTTGTATTCGGTGCATGTGACCAATAAAATTTGATTTGATTTGATTTGTATAACCTCGAACGTGGAGGATGGTTGGGCGTATAACCTCGAACGTGGAGGATGGGTGGGCGTATAACCTCGAACGTGGAGGATGGTTGGGCGTATAACCTCGAACGTGGAGGATGAGTGGGCGTATAACCTCGAACGTGGAGGATGGGAGGGTGTATAACCTCGAACGTGGAGGATGGGTGGGTGTATAACCTCGAACGTGGAGGATGGTTGTGCGTATAACCTCGAACGTGGAGGATGGGTGGGTGTATAACCTTGAACGTGGATGGGTGGGCATATAACGCAAACATGGAGGATGGGTGGGCGTATAACGCAAACGTCTAGCAACCAAAAGGTTGCGTGAATCACATCAGGGACAACTTTAGCATTTTAGCTCATTTGCGTTTACTTACTACTTTTGAGATACTTTGCAACTATATATATATATGCCATTTAGCAGACGCTTTTATCCAAAGCGACTTACAGTCATGCGTGCATACATTTTTGTGTATGGGTGGTCCCGGGGATCGAACCCACTACCTTGGCGTTACAAGCGCCGTGCTCTACCAGCTGAGCTACAGAGGGCCACAACTACACTACATGTTAGCTAACCCTTCCCCTAAGCCTAACCTTAACTCTAAACCTTAAACCCTGACCTTAACCCCTAACACCTGGCCTAGCTAACTTTTGTCACCTAGCTAATGTTTGTCACAACAAATTGGAATTCATAAGATGTCATATGTATTGCAAATTAATAATATATTGTACGAATTGCAATTAGTAACATATCATACGAATTGTAATTCGTAACATATCATGCGAAATGGCTGATGGACATCCACAAATTACGAAACGTAACATATCATACTAAATGGAGGGAGACAGATTTACATTTACTAGGCTCTGATCAGTCCCTACACCCAAACGAGGGCATTGCGTTCATCCACCTCTGGCCTGCTGGCCCCCCTACCTCTGCGGAAGCACAGTTCCCGCTCAGCACCCCAATGGTGGAACAAGCTCCCTCACGACGCCAGGACAGCGGAGTCACTCACCACCTTCCGGAGACACTTGAAACCCCACCTCTTTAATGAATACCTGGGATAGGATAAAGTCATCCTTCTACCCCCCCTTACCCCACCCCAAAGAAAAAAAAAAATAATAACATTGTAAAGTGGTTATCCCACTGACTATAAGGTGAATGCACCAATTTGTAAGTCGCTCTGGTAAAGAGCGTCTGCTAAATGATGTAAATGTAATGTAAATGTTACGTCTACCCCTGAGTCCAGGTTGGTCTTAAAGCATTTTGCCCATTAACCATAAGGGGCCCATAGGGCTCTGGTCAAAAGTAGTGCAATTTAGTATATAGGGAATAAGGTGCCATTTGGGACGTAGCCACTGGCTATGCATTCCAGAGTTCACAGGAATGGGAAAAAGGGACAAGAGGTTCTTCCTCGGCTTGTCAGTGATCTGGTTCATAGAGGCTCTTCTCCCTATCTCCTCCTAAATAACATCCTCTGTCAGCAGATCTACACAGGAAACCTAGCCAGGAAGGAAAGCTTTCCTCTGTCCTATTCTCTCCCCTGCTCGGTCCCCTGAGCCTATTCTGGAATCACACACACGGACACATACAGTACCAGTCAAAAGTTTGGACACACCTACTCATTCAAGGGTTTTTCTTTATTTTTACTATTTTCTACATTATTGAATAATAGTGAAGACATCAAAACTATGAAATAACACATATTGAATCATGTAGTAACCAAAAAAGTGTTAAACAAATCAAAATATATTTTGGATTTTAGATTCTTCAAAGTAGCCACCCTTTGCCTTGATGACAGCTTTGCACTCTTGGCATTCTCTCAACCAGCTCCACCTGGAATGCTTTTCCAACAGTCTTGAAGGAGTTCCCACATATACTGAGCACTTGTTGGCTGCTTTTCCTTCACTCTGCCGTCCGACTCATCCCAAACCATCTCAATTTGGTTGAGGTTGGGTGATTGTGGAGGCCAGGTCCTCTGATGCAGCACTCCATCACTCTCCTTCTTGGTAAAATAGCCCTTACACAGCCTGGAGGTGTGTTGGGTCATTGTCTTGTTGAAAAACAAATGATAGTCCCACTAAGCCCAAACCAGATGGGATGGCGTATCGCTGCAGAATGCTGTGGTAGCCATGCTGGTTAAGTGTGCCTTGAATTCTAAATAAATCACAGACAGTGTCACCAGCAAAGCACCCCAACACCATAACACCTCCTCCTCCATGCTTTACAGTGGGAAATACACATGCAGAGATCATCCATTCACCCACACCGTGTCTCACAAAGACACGGCGGTTGGAACCAAAAATCTCCAATTTGGACTCCAGACCAAAGGACAAATTTCCACTGGTCTAATGTCCATTGCTCGTGTGTCTTAGCCCAAGCAAGTCTCTTCTTCTAATTGGTGTCCTTTACTAGTGGTTTCTTTGCAGCAATTCCACCATGAAGGCCTGATTCACGCAGTCTCCTCTGAACAGTTGATGTTGAGATGTGTCTGTTACTTGAACTCTGGGAAGCATTTATTTGGGCTGCAATCTGAGGTGCAGTGAACTCTAATGAACTTATCCTCTGCACCAGAGGTAACTCTGGGTCTTCCTTTCCTGTGTCCTCATGAGAGCCAGTTTCATCATAGCGCTTGATGGTTTTTGCGACTGCACTTGAAGAAACTTTCCAAGTTCTTGAAATGTTCCGTATTGACTGACCTTCATGTCTTAAAGTAATGATGGACTGTCATTTCTCTTTGTTTATTTGAGCTGTTCTTGCCATAATATGGACTTGGTCTTTTATCAAATAGGGCTATCTTCTGTATACCACCCCCCCCCCCCCCCCCCCTACCTTGTCACAACACAACTGATTGACTCAAACTCATTAAGAAGGAAAGAAATTCCACAATTAAGTTTTTTTAAGGCACACCTGTTAATTGAAATGCATTCCAGGTGACTACCTCATGAAGCTGGTTGAGAGAATCCCAAGAGTGTGCAAAGCTGTCATCAAGGCAAGGTGTGGCAACTTTTAAGAATCTCAATTATAAAATATATTTTGTTTTGTTTAACACTTTTTTGGTTACTACATGATTCCATATGTGTTATTTCATAGTTTTGATGTCTTCACTATTATTCTACAAGGTAGAAAATAGTAAAAATAAAGAAAAACCCTGGGATGAGTAGGTGTGTCCAAACTTTTGACTGGTAGTGTACATGCACACACGCATGGACAGACACACACACACACACACACACACAACACATTCACACATTCTATACATGCATGCACACACACAGGCACCGCACACACACAGGCACCACACACACACACACACACACACACACACACACACACACACAGGCACCACACACACATGCATGCATACACACACACAAACACACATTCCATGCACGCACACACACACACATACACACACCATGGAGGCTGTGAAGCGTCCCTTTAACAACCACTTTCCATTCTACTGTCATCATGCCCAGTGTGAACAATAGAAGCGTAAGGTTAAAAATATATAAACTGATATCCTCCTCTTCCTTTTTCTCTGACGGAGGTTCTGACAAAATGCTGCCCTAAGCAGCAGGTCTTACTGAAATAGGTTCACTTACTAGAAATTTCAAATATTTGTCTTTGGCCTAACAGGCCTACTAAATTTGGGTTAAAATAACCTGGGGCAGTGCAGTGGGCAATTATTTAATTTTTTCATCTGCAAAACATCTGAAAATATTTGATATGTTCTTATAGGCTTAGGCTACACAGATCAAGTAATGTGGCCCAAATATTAGAATGTACATTTAGAGAGCAATTTCATTGATTTGCATAAAACTAAAGGCAACATCAGAGGGGTATACTAGTACACAGTAGGTTTAATGAGTTAGCCAGCTAACATTGATAAACAGACAGAAATAACTAGATTTTCTGGTTCATTAAGAAAGCTAAACTTAGATATGTGTTTTTGGTTGTTGACTCAATTAGACCATTCCTATTTCAAGCTTACCTTTCTAAAACAATTGTAAAGTTATTTCAAAATATTTAGGCAAGTTAGCTGGCTAACTCCTTGATTCTGCTTTGTAGTATACCTCTCTGGTTGCAATGTGGTGTAAGAATGATATAGTGGTTACATGTCAATCATCCTATTGGTCTCATCATTGTTTGGTGTAGATTTGGGGCCTCTACAGGCACAACAGTGACTCCCGACGTTCTGGCGTGCAAGGGGTTAAATTGGGAAGTCGCAGGAGCCGGGTGCTGTGGGGGAGTATCCAATTCACCGCATAGCGGCGCGTTCCGGGGCACATCTCAGCGGTAACATCTGATTCCAACACGTCTCTGAAAAGCTGCGTTTGATTTAAACCTCATAGCGGACAGGAGACGTGTCGACGGGGAAGGTAGCATTCGCATGACAGTCAGAACGCTGAAAGACAACTCGAATATGAAGAATTCTGTCTGGAGCGCTTGTTAACGGTACGTGACATCCACATTATTTCGCAGCCACAAATTCAACTAAGTTACCAGGCAGGGAAAGCTATTTGTGTTGTCATATCACGGAATCCTATATATGATATGATACATTTGGAATGATATTCGTGAGATATTTTACATACTGAACCAAACAAACTCAAGAAGCCCCCTGGTTTTTCCATTAGTTCCAGCTGTGCGCACGTAATTGTGGGAAGTCGCTATTTTGCTTGCTGAAAATGTACCTCGGCTGAGTAACGGATCCCCCTGTTGTCTTACTTGTTGAATATAAGGCTAGAACGACGTTCAAATCATACTTTGGCCACCTTGGATGTTAATCCATCATGGTTAACCCTCCTTTGTAGGCCTACGAAGAGAATAATTGTCCTCTTGCGCAACCAGATGTATTCCAATAGTCTACTGCTATTCATGACTGCATCTTTGAGTTTATAAAACACAATACATATAGCTATCTTTATCCCTAGTAGATGGTAATTGTTTGCCTGTAGTCTTTGTCTGTAGTCAAGGCCACTGCCTGTACCTACAGTGGGCCTATAGGCTGTAGTGGTATTTCACCATCCTATTGAGTCTGTGTGATTTAATCCCCTGATCTTCTCCAGATGTGCTGAATAGAACTTCACCTCTCTCTCGCTCTCTGCATCAATTCTGCTGACTTAGTGAAAAAACACTATGGATTCAGATTCAGTCTATGCATTTGAGCAAGATGGCCAATGGTTATAAGGTGACCATCCTGTTTTTGGAAAGTTGATCCACTGTCAGCTTTCAAATGCCTTATAGCTATTTGTAATGCGTCGGGTCCTTCTCTCACTTCTAAAGCTGTGGAAATGCCAATGGTTTTTGTCTGTTCTTAGACAGGGGCCAGTCTTTTAATGCAGTGTGTCAGCCAGGTTAGTTAACATGCTGACACTGAAGTTGTTTTTTTATTAGCGTTTTCTATAGTCGCTGACACCACCACTTACTGGGGCAAAGTCACCTGGACTGTCACTCCATGGTAGTTACTGAACAGCTAAGGTCATGTGGGTCACGTCACCACCCCTAAGCTATTTCAGTTTTAACCCTTCCTGGCTGACAGTATCCCAAATCGTCCTCTTCTCACCCATTACTGGAGGTCCTTTGACTTGTCTCACACACAGACACACACACAGAGAGAGAGAGAGAGAGACACACAGATAGAGAAAGAGACACACACAGAGAGACACCAGTGTTTTCCCTATATTCATTTAACAGCAGCAGGCCGCCTTATAATTACTTTTATTTATTATCGTTGTTGAAGATTTTGTTATGTTCCTCTGTAGCTCAATTGGTAGAGCATGGTGCTTGTAACGCCAGGGTAGTGGGTTCGATCCCCGGGACCACCCATACGTAAACATTTATGCGCACATGACTGTAAGTCGCTTTGGATAAAAGCGTCTGCTAAATGGCTTATTATTATTATTATTATTATTATTATTATTATTATAATGTTTGAGTCACTCAGATCGCATAAGAGCACGGCATAAGCGATGGTATGTGTAGAATTGCAGGAAATTAGCTTTTTAAAACTGTACATTTTTCTCTCCGCCCCTTTCCAAAATGTGTAGAATTGCAGGAAATTGGCTTTAAAACAGCATAATTGTCTCTGCGGCCAAGAGGATTGCCTCTAAAATGTTCAGTCTGAGACCACGGATCCTATCACACCACCACACTAACTTTGCCACCACTGCTGAATAAAATCTTAGGGGTCACCACAGATGATCCAATCAGTCATGCGGCGCCATCTGGGATGTGATTGGTAGTGTAACCCTTATTGCTTCATGTTATCAAATAACTCATCATTTATTAGGAACCTAGGCCTAATTGTCTTCTCTGTGATAGAGGCCTCCTAAACACCCATGTAAAGAGTGAGAATACTTGCACTCAGTAACAGATGGGACCAAAGATTACGTAAGTCTTTAAGCAGTGATTCAATCAAACCCTGCTATCACCGAATGCTTCAGCTATCATGACATGACCGGAAAACTCTTCTGGACGCTGCTGTTGTAGACCTTAAAAACGGTAGCTCTGCAAAGCATGTCATCTGACTTTGAAACTCAAATTGCTTTGGAAGAGCTGCATACTTCTCATAGTGGAAGTTTAAGTGTTATCACGGTTAAAGGTGATATTGCTGACACACAGCTCTGATGCACTAAATGGCCCCAAGCTCTTCTCTTATCTTGTTCCTGACACTGTTTCCCCTCTAGGGATGTAATATAATATGCACGTGTACACACACACACACACACACACACACACACACACACACACACACTGATAGATGTGTTTTATCTCTATGGTTTCCCTCTTGGGGTGGAATAGAATATGGACTAGCCCAGTCACTTTCAACAGCTTGAGGACAACCGAGACTGAGGAGAGTCATTAGATAATCGCTTTATTAATGGCACAACCTAGAGCTTTTCACCCTACTGAGCCAAACTGAGCGTAGCCAAAGCAACGTGTACTGGACTGGCCAGGTTATGTATCCACCATAGTTGCAGGAACCGTACTGAAGGACAATGTGAAAAGAGAATATCTGAGCCAGTGCGGTTAGGGTCGGCAAAGTAGTGTGAAAGATGGTACTAAAGGAAAAGCCTATAGTCACTATCGTTTAAACAGGTCAATCTCTTTGACAGCTTCCAGTCTCTATCACTGTAGTTTTAATGTTATTGTGATTAACCGTCATCAGGGTAGAGCTCAGGATGGACTTTACCTGATGAGAGTTGGGTTAATGTTAACTACTCTTCAGCAGTCACTAACTGTGCTTTGGGTTTTACAAGTGCCTCTAGACTGTCAGCTTTCTACTTGTTTTCAGGAAATGGACTGTTTTTATGAGTAACCCACTAGACTGGCACAGTGAGTGAGTGAGTGAGAGAGAGAACTACAAGAGGCCTCTATGTAAAGGGAAGGGAATTCAACTTGAGCTGTGTCAAACAGGAGGTTCTTGGCCTTTAATGTCTCCCTATTCCAGAGTGACGTTTGTTGAAAGAAAGAGTTTAGCCGGCCTATGGGCTCCTGCCTCCGTCACATTCTTGGACATTAGACATACACTGAGTGTACCAAACATTAGGAACAACTTCTTAATATTTGCCCTCAGAACGGCCTTCATTCGTCGAGGCAAGCGTTCCACGGGGATGCTGGCCCATGTTGACTCCAATGCTTCCCACAGTTGTCAAGTTTGCTGGATGTCCTTTGGGTGGTGGACCATTCTTGATACACATGGGAAACTGTTGAGTGTGAAAAACCCAGCAGCGTTGAAGTTCTTGACACAAACTGGTGCTCCTGGTACCTACTACCATACCCTGTTCAAAGGCATTTAAATATTTTGTTGTGCCCATTCAGCCTCTAAATGACACATATACACAATCCATGTCTCAATTGTCTCAAGGCTTAAAAATGATTCTTTAACCTGTCTCCTCCCCTTCATCTACACTGATTTGAAGTGGCTTTAACAAGTGACCTCAATAAGGGATCGTAGCTTTCACCTGGATTCACCTTGTCAGTCTGTCATGGAAAGAGCACTTGTTCTTAATGTTTTGTATACTCAGTGACATTGTCAATAAGTTGTTTGCACGTTGGTCTATTATGATGATTCCCATCTGAGGTTTTATAGGGTAGCACTGCAGTTGCTGAGGGTGAATTGCGAGCTGTACTGTCATGTTGATCTTAGCTGTGTGTTATTAAGAGATTACTGGAGCGTGTAGCTCAGTTGGTAGAGCATGGTGTTTGCAACGCCAGGGTTGTGGGTTCGATTCCCACGGGAGGCCAGTATGGAAAAAAAAAAAAATGTATGCACTCACTAACTGTAAGTCACTCTGGATAAGCGCGTCTGCTAAATTACTAAAATGTAAAAATGTATATGGTCATCATGGGGTCTGTCAGTTTTAACACCAACCAGCTAGCGTAAGATTAACTTTTAATAGCTCAACCTTTGGTCGCTCCCAATCTTTGCTCTGCTCTGCCAGAGTGAGTCGTGGCTTATTCAGCTTTTGAACTCCCAGCCTCTTGTCTATGCTCGTCTCAGACCTGGACTGGTGGTGTTCAGGACAGGGCCTCTGTGACTGTGGGAATCAGATTACTGATGGGACGCACTGTTCGAAACAGGAAGTGTGTGTCTGGCCAGTTGCACAGCTGTTTCTGATGCCCTCCAGGTGTTCCTCTCTCTCACACACTCAGTATTAATTAAAGAGCCCACTGAGTTCAATGGCAGTTTCCTCACCTGCGATCAACCATCATGGCTATCCACGTTTCACAGCAAGGCTACAACGTGGGTCAAAATGGTGTGTGCTCCTTGTGCCTGGTTAGTAGGAACGAGGTAGTGGGGTCATGGCTCCTGGTTGTTGATCATTAAAGTAATATTACTTTTTACGATGCTCACAAAACCCTTAAGGGACAATTTCAGGTAGCGCAAGCCAGCAAAAGCTGTTGGTCTTTAAAAATGTTTAGAGCTGTAATGTCTTTGTTCTGTTATCATTCTGCATTTATCACCAAAATGTTTTGGTATTTCACCTTTAATTTTCAGAAAGCTTAACATTGGAGTGTCATTGCATTATATTTCTGTCACACTCCTTCCTCTCTCCCTCCTCCAGGCACATAACTGAGCATGTGCAAGTGCTGAGGCTCTTTGCTGAGTTGACCCCACCCCCTCCCCCGGCCTGAACGAGGAGCGACCGGAGCTGCTGCCTCGTCAGGTTTACCCCCCCTGTCCTGTCTGCCTGTCCCGACTCCCGTAAGGCTGGTCCCCCAACCCACCATGTCTACAGAAGTGGAAAGCAGTGTACCTGTCGTCCCGGCCGACCACTCCAGCCCTCCTGCCCCCCCCACATCCTCCACAACCAGCCTCCCCACCACCCCTTCCACAGCACCAGCCAAGACCCCCTTCAAGAAAGAGAAGAAGAAAGGTACTGTATGTAAGGGCCACTCCCTCTCTCCCCACATGTGAGGGATTTGGTGTTATAGGCTGAACTGCCTTTTTCTGTGACGTCAGACTTGACCTTTGGTCTAGTTTTACATATTTTGATTTCCATGCGTCTTGTGGTGTGATGGTCGAGGCTATGTAATAAAATAAATACAGAAGAATTGTAGAGGGCATGCTCAACCGGACAGAAAGTGAAAATCAATCTGTTTTCTCTCCTGCTCTCATCCCTCCGTCCAGCTCCAGAGAAGACTGATGAGTACCTGTTGTCCCGGTTCCAGGGTGACGGTGTGAGGTACAGGGCCAAGCTGATTGGCATTGATGATGTCCCAGAGGCCCGAGGGGACAAGATGAGCCAGGATTCCATGATGAAACTCAAGGTACCACGTCTGATGCAAATGCTACAGTACACGTACTGGTATGCATATACACTCAGGGGCCAGTTTATTAGGTACACCCATCCAGTGCCGGGTCGGAGTCCTGTTTGCCTCCAGAACAGTCTGAATTCTTCGGGACATGGAAACGTTGCTCAGTTGGTATCAAGGGACCTAACGTGTGCCAAGAAAACATTCCCCACACCATTACACCACCGCCACCTGCCTGTACCATTGACACCAGGCAGGGTTGGGCCATGGCTGCTTATGCCAAATCTGACTCTGCCATCGGCATGACGCAACAGGAACCGGGATTTGTCGGACCAGGCAACGTTTTTCCACTCCTCAATTGTCCAGTGTTGGTGATCGCGTGCCCACTGGAGCTGCTTCTTGTTTTTAGCTGATAGGAGTGGAACCCGGTGTGGTCGTCTGCTGCAATAGCCTATCTGTGACAGACTGACGAGTTGTGCATTCCGAAATGCCCTTCTGCACACCACTGTTGTACTGAGCTGAGTTTGTGGCCCGCCTGTTAGCTGAGCTGAGTTTGTGGCCTGCCTGTTAGCTTGCACGATTCTTGCCAATCTCCTCCAACCTCTCATCAACAAGCTGTTTTTGGCCACAGGACTGCCGCTGACTGGATGTTTTTTGTTTGTCGCATCATTCTCAGTAAACCCTAGACATTGTCGTGCATGAAAAGCCCAGGAGGTTGGCTGTTTCTGAGATACTGGAACCGGCGCGCCTGGCACCGACGATCATGCCACGCTCAGTCGCTTAGGTCACTCATTTTGCCCATTCTAACGTTCAATCGAACAGTAACTGATATAACAAGCCAAGGCCACGTGACTCACTGTCTGTAGGAGCGACCCATTTTCGTGAATGGGGTAGTGTACCTAATAAACTGGCCACAAACTGGCCAACTTGCCTTCCTCACCCATCTACACACAATTCCCCGTAATGACAGCGAAAACATGTTTTTAGAATTCTTTGCAAATGTATTGAAAATGAAATTGAGAAATATCTCATTTACATACAATACCAGTCAAAAGTTTGGACACCTACTCATTCAAGGGTTTTTCTTTATTTTTAATATTTTCTACATTGTAAAATAATAGTGAAGACTTAAACTATGAAATGACGCATATGGAATCATGTAGTAACCAAAAAAGTGTTAAACAAATCAAAATATATTTGAGATTCTTCAAATAGCCGCCCTTTGCCTTGATGACAGCTTTGCACACTCTTTGCATTTGATTTGTTTAACACTTTTTTGGTTACTACATGATTCCATATGTGTCATTTCATAGTTTTGAAATCTTCACTATTACTCTACAATGTCAAATATAATACAAATAAAGAAAAACCCTTGAATGAGTAGGCGTGTCCAAACATTTCACTGGTAGTGTAAGTATGTTAGAATCACCTTTGGCAGCAATTACAGCTGTGAATATTTCTGGGTAAGTCTCTAAGAGCTTTCCACACCTGGATTGTGCAACATTTGCCCATTTATGCTTTTCAAAATTCTTCAAGCTCTGTCAAATAGGTTGTTGATCATTGCCCCACAACCATTTTCAAGTCTTTCCATAGATTATCAAGCAGATTTAAGTCAAAACTGTAACTCGGCCACTCAGGAACATTCACTGTCTTCTTTGTAAGCAACTCCAGTGTAGATTTGGCCGTGTTTTAGGTTATTGTCCTGCTGAAAGGTGAATGCATCGCCCAACGCCCAGACTGAACCATGTTTTCCTCTAGGATTTTGCCTGTGCTTAGCTCCATTCCATTTTTATCCTGAAAAACTCCTCAGTCCTTAACAATTACAAGCATACCCATAACATGATGCAGCCACCACCATGGAGAGTGGTACTGAGTAATGTGTTGTATTGGATTTGCCCCTAACCTAACACTTTGCATTCAGGACAAAAAGTGAATTGCGTTGCCATATTATTTGCAGTATTACTTTAGTGCCTTGTTGCAACATGATGCATGTTTTGGAATATTCTTATTATGTACAGGCTCCCTTCTTTTCACTCTGTCAATTACATCAGTATTGTGGAGTAACTACAATGTTGTTGATCCATTCTCAGTTTTCTCCTATCACAGCCATTAAACTCTGTAACTGTTTTAAAGTCACCATTGTCCTCATGTTGAAATCCCTGAGTGGTTTCCTTCCTCTCCGGGAAAGATGCCTGTACAGTGCATTCGGAAAGTATTCAGTCCCCTTGACCTTTTCCACATTTTGTTACGTTACGGCCATATTCTAAAACAGATTTATTTTTTTATTCTCATCAATCTACACAATACCCCATAATGACAAAGCAAAAACAGGTTTAGACATTTTTGCAAATGTATTACAAATAAAAACTGAAATCACATTACATAAGTATTCAGATCCTTTACTCAGTACTTTGTTGAAGTCCCTTTGGCAGCGATTACAGCCTTGAGTCTTCTTGGGTATGATGCTACAAGCTTGGCACACTTGTATTTGGGGAGTTTCTCCCATTCTTCTCTGCAGATCCTCTCAAGCTCTGTCAGGTTGGATAGGGAGTGTCGCTGCACAGCTGTTTTCAGGTCTCTCCAGAGATGTTGGATCAGGTTCAAGTTCGGGCTCTGGTTGGGCCACTCAAGGACATTCAGAGACTCGTCACGAAGCTAGTCCTGCGTACTCTTGGCTGTGTGCTTAGGGTCGTTGTCCTGTTGGAAGGTGAACCTTCGCCCCAGTCTGAGGCCATGAGCGCTCTGGAGCAGGTTTTCATCTAGGATCTCTCTGTACTTTGCTCCATTCATCTTTCCCTCCATCCTGACTAGTCTCCCAGTCCCTGCCGCTAAATAACATCCCCACAGCATGATGCTGCCACCACCATGCTTCGCAGTAGGGATGGTGCCAGGTTTCCTCAAGACGTGACGCTTGGCATTAAGGCCAAAGAGTTCAATCTTGGTTTCATCATACCAGATAATCTTGTTTCTCATGGTCTGAGTCCTTTAGGTGCCTTTTGGCAAATGCCAAGCAGGCTGTCAGGTGCCTTTTTACTGAGGAGTGACTTCAGTCTGGCCACTCTACCGTAAAGGCCTGATTGGTGGAGTGCTGCAGAGATGGTTGTCCTTCTGGAAGGTTCTCCCATCTCCACAGAGGAACTCTGGAGCTCTGTCAGAGTGACCATCGGGTTCTTGGTCACCTCCCTGACCAAGGCCCTTCTCCCCCGATTGCTCAGTTTGGCTGGGCGGCCAGCTCTAGGAAGAGTCTTGGTGGTTCCAAACTTCTTCCATTTAAGAATGATGGAGGCCACTGTGTTCTTGGGGACCTTCAATGCTGCAGACATTTTTGGTACCCTTCCCCAGATCTGTGCCTCTGCACAATCCTGTCTCGGAGCTCTAAGTATAATTCCTCGACCTCATGGCTCGTTTTTGCTCTGACATCCACTGTCAACTGTGGGACTGTATATGGACAGATGGGTGCCTTTCCAAATCATGTCAAATCAATTGAATTTACCACAGGGGGACTCCAATCAAGTTGTAGAAACATCTCAAGGATCATCAATGGAAACTGGATGCATCTGAGCTTAATTTCGAGTCTCATAGCAAAGGGTCTGAATACTTATGTAAATAAGTTATTTCTGTGTTTTAATTTTTTTATACATTTGCAAAGAAATCTAAAAACCTGTTTTCGCTTTGTCATTATGGGGTATTGTGTGTGGATTGCTGAGGATTTTTTATTTATTTAATCCATTTTAGAATAAGGCTGTAACGTAACAAAGTGGAAAAAGGAAGGGAGTCTGAATTCTTTCCGAATGCACTGTATCTTTGTAGTGATTGGGTGTATTGATACACCATCCAAAGTGTAATTAATAACGTCTCCATGCTCAAAGGGCTTATTCAATGTCTGCTTTTTTATTTTTACACATCTACCAATAGGTGCCCTTCTTTGCGAGACATTGGAAAACCTCCCTGGTCTTTGTGTTAGTATGTCATTTTTTTGTGTGTGGTGTTTGTAATGTAACTGTGTTTTGCTGTTGTGGCAGTAATTCTTGTTTTTTTGCAGGGCATGGCAATAGCCTTTCGGTCCCAGGGCAAACACAAGCAGAGGATCTGGGTCAACATATCCATGTCGGGCATCAAGATCATCAATGAGAAAACAGGGGTGAGAACAACCCTTCTATGGCTTTCTCCCGAGTGGCGCAGTGGTCTAAGTGCCACTAGAGATCCTGGTTCGAATCCAGGCTCTTTCGTAGCCGGCCGTGACCGGGAGACCCATGGGGCGGCGCACAATTGGCCCAGCGTCGTCTAGGGTAGGGGAGGGAATGGCCGGCAGGGATGTAGCTCAGTTGGTAGAGCATGGCGTTGTGGGTTCGATTCCCACGGGGGTATGAAAATAGAAAGATAATGTATGCACTCACTAACTGTAAGTCGCTCTGGATAAGAGTGTCTGCTAAATGACTAAAAAGTAATGTAAAATGCTTTCTAAACCATAGTTAATTCCTCTGTTCCTCTTTCTAGACCATGTCTCAGTGGCTGGGGAGTACCAACCTAAAATAGAATGATCTATTGTAGACATCATAGAGGAACATTTTCAGAATAATATGAACACAGCAGATGATCTCAATCAAGAGTAGATGCCATGTAGGCCTCAGTTCATGTTTATATTATTATGCTAATCTAGACTAAACAGACTGTTCTCTCTGCTACTGCACGGCAAGCGGTACCAGAGCGCCAAGTCTAGAACCAAAAGGCTCTTTAACAGCTTCTACCCCCAAGCCATAAGACTGCTGAACAATTAATCAAATGGCCACCCGGACTATTTACATTGACCTCCCCCCCTTTGTTTTTACACTGCTGCTACTCGCTGTTTATTATCTATGCATAGTCACTTTACCCCTACCCACATGTACAAATTACCTTGACTAACCTGTACCCCCGCACATTGACTCGGTACCGGTGCCCCCTGTATATAGCCTCGTTATTGTTATTTTGTGTTACTTTTTTATTGTATTTTACTTTTGTTTATTTAATAAATATTTTCTTAACTCTATTTCTTGAACTGCGTTGTTGGTTAAGGGGCTTGTAAGTAAGCATTTCACGGTAAGGTCTACACCTGTTGTATTCGTCGCATGTGGCAAATAAAATTGTATTTGATTTAAACTGTTTTAAAAGCTGTTTTCTCATTTCCTCTCTCTCAGGTAATAGAACACGAGCACATAGTGAATAGGATCTCGTTCATCGCCAGAGACGTAACAGATAACAGGGCCTTTGGCTACGTGTGTGGGGCCGAGGGACAGCACCAGTTCTTCGCCATAAAGACTGGCCAGCAGGTAACAGACACACAGGGACACACACGCAGACTGTTGCAAGTCTTTGATTGTATCTATTGACTGTGTTTTTCCATTAATTTCCTCTCCATATAGGCAGAGCCCCTGGTCATTGACTTGAAGGATCTGTTCCAGGTCATCTTCAACATGAAGAAGAAAGAGTCTGAGTCCTCACAGAAGGTAAATGACTATGGTGGGATCCGGGTTGTGTTCAGTAGGACACACTGTAGCAAAACATTTTGCAACAGAAAACAAACTGTTCTATGTGCTAATAGTTCTTCCCTGCTTCAATCAGTTGCAAAACTTGTTTTCTCCCTACTGAACATAACCCTTTTTTTTTTTTAAGTGTTGTTTTTGGGGAGGTAGCATTTAGGGTTTGCTGACTGGATGGAGGTCATGTGACTGAAGTTGTGCGAGGTCGACACTGCCCACTAGCGCTGTATTACAGTCCTGCACCACAAACCATGCATTCATTGTATTGCAATGAGATGACTCATTATGGCACAAATATATCACAAATCTCATCCAATAAGTAAATGGAGAACATATGACATTCCTCCAATGGAATCATCTTGTTTTTCCTCTTCGTCTATCTGTTCAGGGTCAGTGCAATAACACAACAATTGAGGTAAGTGCCTGTGTATTTGTCATTCCACTAATCACCTATTTGTGAATTTTTCTTTTTTAAGTGCCTGTGTATGTTGAATAATATAAGCTTGATCTGAGATGTAGGCTGTAGTAGTGCATACTTGACCCCTTATTGCTGTGTTTCATTTATAGAATGGCAGCGATTCCTTGCTCAGTATCGATGGCCAGGTGGGCACTGCCAAAGTAAGTGTTTCAGATCATGGAATCATACATTCAAAGGGGTGCCAAGTGGATGCAAAAGAGCATTCTCCAAGACCACCTGTCTACTAGTAGACGTTCTGTGGTGTTGTGTTGATCAAGACTGTTTTGTCACATCTCTTTCTTTATGACGCTGATACTGTATACAGTGAGGGGGGAAAAAAGTATTTGATCCCCTGCTGATTTTGTACGTTTGCCCAATGACAAAGACATGATCAGTCTATAATTTTAATGGTAGGTTTATTTGAACAGTGAGAGACAGAATAACAACAAAAAAATCCAGAAAAACGCATGTCAAAAATGTTACATTGATTTGCTTTTTAATGAGGGAAATAAGTATTTGACCCCTCTGCAAAACATGACTTGGTGGCAAAACCCTTGTTGGCAATCAGAGGTCAGACGTTTCTTGTAGTTGGCCACCAGGTTTGCACACATCTCAGGAGGGATTTTGTCCCACTCCTCTTTGCAGATCTTCTCCAAGTCATTAAGGTTTCGAGCCTGATGTTTGGCAACTCGAACCTTCAGCTCCCTCCACAGATTTTCTATGGGATTAAGGTCTGGAGACTGGCTAGGCCACTCCAGGACCTTAATGTGCTTCTTCTTGAGCCACTCCTTTGTTGCCTTGGCTGTGTGTTTTGGGTCATTGTCATGCTGGAATACCCATCCACGACCCATTTTCAATGCTCTGGCTGAGGGAAGGAGGTTGTCACCCAAGATTTGACAGTACATGGCCCCGTCTATCGTCCCTTTGATGCGGTGAAGTTGTCCTGTCCCCTTAGCAGAAAAACACCCCCAAAGCATAATGTTTCCACCTCCATGTTTGACGGTGGGGATGGTGTTCTTGGGGTCATAGGCAGCAATCCTCCTCCTCCAAACACAGCGAGTTGAGTTGATGCCAAAGAGCTCAATTTTGGTCTCATCTGACCACAACACTTTCACCCAGTTCTCCTCTGAATCATTCAGATGTTCATTGGCAAACTTCAGACGGGCATGTATATGTGCTTTCTTGAGCAGGGGGACCTTGCGGGCGCTGCAGGATTTCAGTCCTTCACGGCGTAGTGTGTTACCAATTGTTTTCTTGGTGACTATGGTCCCAGCTGCCTTGAGATCATTGACAAGATCCTCCCGTGTAGTTCTGGGCTGATTCTTCACCGTTCTCATGATCATTGCAACTCCACGAGGTGAGATCTTGCATGGAGCCCCAGGCCGAGGGAGATTGACAGTCCTTTTGTGTTTCTTCCATTTGCAAATAATCGCACCAACTGTCACCTTCTCACCAAGCTGCTTGGCGATGGTCTTGTAGCCCATTCCAACCTTGTGTAGGTCTACAATCTTGTCCCTGACATCCTTGGCGAGCTCTTTGGTCTTGGCCATGTGGAGAGTTTGGAATCTGATTGATTGATTGCTTCTGTGGACAGGTGTCTTTTATACAGGTAACAAGCTGAGACTCCCTTTAAGAGTGTGCTCCTAATCAGCTTGTTACCTGTATAAAAAACACCTGGGAGACAGATGTTTCTGATTGAGAGGGGTCAAATACTTATTTCCCTCATTAAAATGCAAATCAATTGATAACGTTTTTGACATGCGTTTTTCTGGATTTTTTTGTTGTTATTCTGTCTCTCACTGTTAAAATAAACCTACCATTACAATTATAGACTGATCATTTCTTTGTCAGTGGGCAAACGTACAAAATCAGCAGGGGATCAAATACTTTTTTCCCTCACTGTATATCTTTATGATGCCATATATATCTTTATGAAGCTGATACTGGATATATCTTTATGATGCTGGATAGATCTTTGATGCTGATACTGGATATACTGTGGCTTGTGAAATTATTCACCACCTTTAGCATTTTTCCTATTTTGTTGCCTTACAACCTGGAATTAAAATGGATTTTTTTTTTGGGGGGGTTGTATCATTTGATTTACACAACATGGCTACCACTTTGAAGATGCAAAATATGTTTTCTCCTGAAACATACAAGAAATAAGACCAAATAAAATAACTTGAGTGTGCATAACTATTCACCCCCCCCAAAGTCAATAAAAAATTTACTTTGTAGAGCCACCTTTTGCAGCAATTACAGCTGCAAGTCTCTTGGGGTATGTCTCTATAAGCTTGGCACATCTAGCCACTGGGATTTTTGCCCATCCTTCAAGGCAAAACTGCTCCATCTCCTTCAGGTTAGATGGTTTCCGCTGGTGTACAGCAATCTTTAAGTCATACCACAGGTTCTCAATTGGATTGAGGTCTGGGCTTTGACAAGGCCATTCCATGCCATTTTAAATGTTTCCCCTTAAACAATTGTCCTGCTGGAAGGTGAACCTCCGTCCCAGTCTCAAATCTCTGGAAGACTGAAACAGGTTTCCCTCAATAATTTCCCTGTATTTAGCGCCATCCATCAATCCTTCAATTCTGACTAGTTTCCCAGTCCCTGCCGATGGAAAAACATCCCCACAGCATGATGCTGCCACCACCATGCTTCACTGTGGGGATGGTGTTCTCGGGGTGATGAGGTGTTTGGTTTGCGCCAGACATAACATTCTCCTTGATGGCCAAAAAGCTCAATTTTAGTCTCATCTGACCAGAGTACCTTCTTCCATATGTTTGGGGAGTCTCCCACATGGCTTTTGGCGAACACCAAATGTGTTTGCTTATTTTTTTCTTCAAGCAATGGCTTTTTTCTGGCCACTCTTGTGTAAAGCCCAGCTCTGTGGAGTGTACGGCTTAAAGTGGTCCTATGGACAGATACTCCAATCTCCGCTGTGGAGCTTTGCAGCTCCTTCAGGGTTATCTTTGGTGTCTTTGTTGCCTCTCTGTGTCACGAACGTCTACTAAGTGAGTGGACCAAGGCGCAGCGTGCGATACGAACATGACTTTATTAATTAAAGTACTCAATACAAAACAACAAACAATGACGAATCGTGAAGTCCTCAGTTACAATGACTGATACGGAACAAAAACCCACAAACACAAGGTGAAAACAGACAGTATAAATATGGCTCCCAATCAGAGACAACGAGCCAAACAGCTGACACTCGTTACCTCTGATTGGGAGTCACTCATCCAAACAAAGAAATACAACCACATAGAACAACCCAACCAAACAGAACACAACGAAACGAACACACCCTGGCTCAACATACAAAGTCCCGGAGCCAGAGCGTGACAGTACCCCCCCCTAAAGGCGCGGACTGCGACCGCGCCTCAATAAGGGCTAAACAAGGGAGGGCTGGGTGGGCATACCTCCTCGGCGGTGGTTCTGGCTCCGGCCCTGATCCCCACCTCCTCTCCAACCCCCCAAAGTACCCCTGGTCCTGTCTAGCCCCGCTGGTCGGAGCCGGACTGACGACACGCGCCCCTGGCTTGGTGCGTGGAACAGGAACGGGCCTCACCGGACTGACGACTCCATTCCCTGGTTTGGTGCGAGTAGCAGGAACGAGCTGGACCAGGCTGACGACTCGCATCCCTGGTTTGGTGCGAGTAGCAGGAACGGGCTGGACCAGGCTGACGCCTCGCACCCCTGGCTTGGTGCGAGTAGCAGGAACGGGTTGGACCAGGCTGGCGACTCGCACCCCTGGTTTGGTGCGAGTGGCAGGAACAGGCCGGGTCGGGCTGGCGACGCACACCGTAGGCTTTGTGCGTGGAGCAGGGACAGGCCGGGCTGGGCTGGCGACGCACACCGTAGGCTTTGTGCGTGGAGCAGGAACAGGCCGGGCTGGGCTGGCGACGCACACCGTAGGCTTTGTGCGTGGAGCAGGAACAGGCCGGGCTGGACTGGCAACGCACACCGTAGGCTTTGTGCGTGGAGTAGGGACAGGCCGGGCTGGACTGGCGACGCACCTCGTAGGCTTGGTGCGTGGAGCAGGGACAGGCCGGGCTGGGCTGTCGACGCACACCACTGACTTGGTGGGAATGGCAGGAACCGGCCGGGCTGGGCTGACGACGTGCACCACTGACTTGGTGGGAATGGCAGGAACAGGCCGGGCTGGGCTGACGACGCGCACCACTGACTTGGTGGGAATGGCAGGAACAGGCCGGGCCGGGCTGTCGACGCACACCACAGACTTGGTGGGAATGGCAGGAACAGGCCGGGCTGGGCTGACGACGCGCACCACTGCCTTGGTGGGAATGGCAGGAACAGGCCGGACCGTACTGGGGACACACACCACTGGCCCCACGCAGGGATCAGGAACGGGCCGGACCGGACTGGTAACACACCCCAGTACCTCTCGCCGTGCCTCCACACTTTCCCTCTCCTCTGTGCCCAGTGGCCCCCCCTAACCTGGCGGCCTTCTCTGCCAACGCTTTGCACCGCTCTAACCCGTACACCTGCTGCCCCGACGTCGTGAGCCCCCCCCTAAAAATTTCCTGGGGGTCTCTCCTCCCCGTGGCCCAGGCCTCTCTCCCTCTTGCCAGACTCGCAATCATCTCCTCCCACGTCCATCCTCTCTCCTCGTCATGCTGCTTGATCTGGTTAAGGTGGGTTTTTCTGTCACGAACGTCTATTAAGTGAGTGGACCAAGGCGCAGCGTGCGATACGAACATGACTTTATTAATTAAAGTACTCAATACAAAACAACAAACAATGACGAATCGTGAAGTCCTCAGTTACAATGACTGATATGGAACAAAAACCCACAAACACAAGGTGAAAACAGACAGTATAAATATGGCTCCCAATCAGAGACAACGAGCCAAACAGCTGACACTCGTTACCTCTGATTGGGAGTCACTCATCCAAACAAAGAAATACAACCACATAGAACAACCCAACCAAACAGAACACAACGAAACGAACACACCCTGGCTCAACATACAAAGTCCCGGAGCCAGAGCGTGACACTCTGATTAATGCCCTCCTTGCCTGGTCCGTGAGTTTTGGTGGGCGGCCCTCTCTTGGCAGGTTTGTTGTGGTGCCATATTCTTTCAATTTTTTTATAATGGATTTAATGGTGCTCCGTGGGATGTTCAAAGTTTAGGATATTTATTTATAATCCAACCCTGATCTGTACATCTCCACAACTTTGTCCCTGACCTGTTTGGAGAGCTCCTTGGTCTTCATGGTGCCGCTTGCTTGGTGGTGCCCCTTCCTTAGTGGTGTTGCAGACTCTGGGCCCTTTCAGAACAGGTGTGTGTGTGTATATATCCTGAGATCATGTGACACTTAGATTGCACACAGGTGGACTTTATTTAACTAATTATGTGACTTCTGAAGGTAATTGGTTGCACCAGATCTTATTTAGGGGCTTCAAAGCAAATACATATGCACGCACCCCTTTTCCGTTTAAGTAATTTTTTTCACTTCACCAATTTGGAGTATTTTGTGTATGTCCATTACTTGAAATCCAAATAAAAATCAATTTAAATGACAGGTTGTAATGCAACAAAATAGGAAAAATGCCAAGGGGGATGAATACTTTTGCAAGGCACTGTATCTTTATGATTCTGGATATATCTTTATGATACTGAATATATCTTTATGATGCTGTAATATATCTTTATGAGGATGTATCTTTATGATGCTGATGCTGGATATTTGTGTATTTGTTCAGGAGGTGCAACAGCTGGATCTGTTTGGAGACATGTCCACCCCTCCAGACATACATTCTCCTACAGTAAGTTGGCCTGTTGCTGTGGGGTGGGGCTCACTGGATGTGCACAGTGCACACATATAATATAGAACCCCTCGTCAAGGTTTCTGGAAACATTTCATACTGCATTCATAAGGAGATTTACCAAATGATGGCACTGGGGAAATGTTAATAACACAAACACACTTTAGAAATGGGTATAATAAGGCAGTGGTTGACGGTTGATATGCTCATACATTTGTAATTCCATTTTTGGACAGTACGGACAACATGAACACATGACCTTGCTTCTATTTTATTTTTGGAGGCTTTTTGCCCATTCTTATTCCTAACAAGGATCTTTTCCCCAATTTATAATCAGGGGGCTTTGACAACTCAAGCTCTGGTAAAGTTCCTCTCAGGCTCTAGCTAGCTCAGTCTTGCCCGTTGTCAAAGATGTCTGTTTCGTTCTGCATTGTGGCAGTGTCTCAGTCTCTCGCCCCAAAACATAGCTTTACTGCATAACTTCAGTTTCCACCAATCATACACTGCTCAAAAAAATAAAGGGAACACTAAAATAACACCTCCTAGATCTGAATGAATTAAATAATCTTATTAAATACTTTTTTCTTTACATAGTTGAATGTGCTGACAACAAAATCACACAAAAATGATCAATGGAAATCAAATGTATCAACCCATGGAGGTCTGGATTTGGAGTCACCCTCAAAATTAAAGTGGAAAACCACACTACAGGCTGATCCAACATTGATGTAATGTCCTTAAAACAAGTCAAAATGAGGCTCAGTAGTGTGTGTGGCCTCCACATGCCTGTATGACCTCCCTACAACGCCTGGGCATGCTCCTGATGAGGTGGCGGATGGTCTCCTGAGGGATCTCCTCCCAGACCTGGACTAAAGCATCCGCCAACTCCTGGACAGTCTGTGGTGCAATGTGGCGTTGGTGGATGGAGCGAGACATGATGTCCCAGATGTGCTCAATTGGATTCAGGTCTGGGGAACGGGCGGGCCAGTCCATAGCATCAATGCCTTCCTCTTGCAGGAACTGCTGACACACTCCAGCCACATGAGGTCTAGCATTGTCTTGCATTAGGAGGAACCCAGGGCCAACCGCACCAGCATATGGTCTCACAAGGGGTCTGAGGATCTCATCTCGGTACCTAATGGCAGTCAGGCTACCTCTGGCGAGCACATGGAGGGCTGTGCGGCCCCCCAAAGAAATGCCACCCCACACCATGACTGACCCACCACCAAACCGGTCATGCTGGTGTGCATGACCAAACCGGTCATGCATGATGTTGCAGGCAGCAGAACGTTCTCCACGGCGTCTCCAGACTCTGTCACGTGCTCAGTGTGAACCTGCTTTCATCTGTGAAGAGCACAGGGCGCCAGTGGCGAATTTGCCAATCTTGGTGTTCTCTGGCAAATGCCAAACGTCCTGCACGGTGTTGGGCTGTAAGCACAACCCCCACCTGTGGACGTCGGGCCCTCATACCACCCTCATGGAGTCTGTTTCTGACCGTTTGAGCAGACGCATGCACATTTGTGGCCTGCTGGAGGTCATTTTGCAGGGCTCTGGCAGTGCTCCTCCTGCTCCTCCTTGCACAAAGGCGGAGGTAGCAGTCCTGCTGCTGGGTTGTTGCCCTTCTACGGCCTCCTCCACGTCTCCTGGTGAACTGGCCTGTCTCCTGGTAGCGCCTCCATGCTCTGGACACTACGCTGACAGACACAGCAAACCTTCTTGCCACAGCTCGCATTGATGTGCCATCCTGGATGAGCTACACTACCTGAGCCACTTGTGTGGGTTGTAGACTCCGTCTCATGCTACCACTAGAGTGAAAGCACCGCCAGCATTCAAAAGTGACCAAAACATCAGCCAGGAAGCATAGGAACTGAGAAGTGGTCTGTGGTCACCACCTGCAAAACCAGTCCTTTATTGGGGGTGTCTTGCTAATTGCCTATAATTTCCACCTGTTGTCTATTCCATTTGCACAACAGCATGTGAAATGTATTGTCAATCAGTGTTGCTTCCTAAGTGGAGAGTTTGATTTCACAGAAGTGTGATTGACTTGGAGTTACATTGTGTTGTTTAAGTGTTCCCTTTATTTTTTTGAGCAGTGTATTATCCCACACATCATACAGGGCTCTCAAACTCAACTCTGTAAAGGTCTGTAATCTGTATGCTTATTGTCTCCTGGATATATCTCAAATGTCAACACGTCAAATATGGTTGTAAATCATCAGACGGACAAAAAAGCACTGCCATTACAAAGCACATTCCTAGAGTTGAGTTTCTGATTCCTGTTTAAATGTTTATTGGTCCGTCGTCAACACTTGCTTCAACAATCATAAACTGTCTTGTCATGTCATTATGTGATTAATTTAGCTGTGTTAACAGTTGCTTCTCTCTTCCAGCACAACTGATTTCTCTCTCTCTCTCTCGCTCTTTTTATTTATTTATTTATTTATTTATTTGTTTTCCTCCCTTGATAACCAGGAGACTAATGAAATGCTATTGCTGGATCTGTCCACTGAGGTTGACAGCAATCAGAACTGTATAAAAGGAAATCCCTTCACTTCCTATGCCTCTAACCCTTGGGGCACCCCCCAAACAGAGAACCCCTTCTCCTCCACATTTGGCTTCTTTCCAACCCCAGACACTGACCCTTTCAGTGACGACCCCCTTGCCCAATCGGCACCCCCCAATTCTCTGATCTCAGCACCCTCCACCAATCACAGCCAAGAGAGCTCTGTTGACATCTTGGGCAGGCCAATCATGAACGGCAGTAGTCTTAATGGAGACTCTGACTACTTCAGTCAGCAGTTGAATGGGTTGTCCAATAAGAACATGATCCTGGCTCTCAGTAATGGCCTGTGGCCACTAGGGGGTGTGATGTCCGAGTGCAGGGTCCCTGTTCCTCTCCAGAACGGTTTGGGACCTGTGTCCTCACCACAGAACCCCTTTCTCGACATATCTGGGAAAAGCCCGCCCCTCTGTAACGGTGTGATGTTCGATCCCCCCGCACCCATGGGTCATAGCAAGGACGGTTCGGTAGTGATAAGCCTCCCTCCAAAGAACACTAAGGCTGGACGAGGTCGGAGGAGTGCCAAGGTGAAGCTCCATAATGAAGCTCTGATGTTGCTGCATGTCTGAGAATGAGTCTCTGTCTGCACACCACCTCCCCAAATCATAATTGGTTTTCTAACAACAACCCCCTTTCACAGCACTGGGATACCATACCACTATACTCTATTCCTCAAGGGTAACAGGTTGCATTGCACTTGGTTTTGTCTCTACCAACATGGTTTTCGTATAAGCATATTAGGGTTGGTGGTGTGTTGGTTTTGTCTCTGGGTTTCTAACATGGCTAACTGCATGGTGGTGCTCACATGGCTTGTGTCCCAGGGCAGATTAACAACCTCTCTCTGCTAGACCGTAAACACTATCTATTCATATGTTCCTTGTCCTAACATTCATGCTTCAGTGAGGTGTGGAGGTAAGTGTTGGTATTTGTGTCTTTAAGTATTGTTAGAAATTGTTTTTTTAAAATAATTGTGAATACAGTATATAAGTCAGATAATTTAGTTTTTTTTCCGTAAGCATCCATACAATAAACCTTGTCATTAATTCTGTGCTTACCACAGTTTTCTCTGTGTTTACTGGCCCTCAATTAATAGTCAATCATTGTTCATTATTTGGTTGAATAATCTGACATTTCACTGCCAGTCTCCTCCTACTGATGACCTATTTGGGGCTGACGTGTTTGCTGCCTCCAGTCAGCCTGACAGCTCGTCTGCCTCCGATGACCTCTTCAGTCCCACCTCCTCCATAGCAGCTCTGGGTAAGACTAGTGTTGCCATTGGCTCAAAATTATGTTACCCATGCATGTTAGTTCTGTGGTAAAATCTGCATCTGTAGCTGTGTGGCTCCAGCAACTATGTTTAATGTGTAATCAGGCTAGAGCAGTAGGCCCTACGGCATGGCTCAGCTGGACTCAGCTCAGTAGAGTGCATACTAGCTAGTGTGTTAGATTCTGTTGATTTGTAGCCAGTAGGCTACCTACTGCACCCAAACCTAAAGACATCTCTACCCTGTTCTCCCTCCAGGAGCGTTGCAGTTGGGTCCCCCTTCAGTCACCATCCCTCGGACCGCCCCGTCACCATGGGGAGCCCCAGCCTCTTCCATGTTCACCATGCCAGGAGGGGTCACACTCCCCAACCCCCAGCCCACCTTCCCCCAGCCATCTGCCTTCGGTGCCCTGCCCATACCCCCTGCCCCCTGGGGCCAGCAGGCGCCATCCCCGTATGGGGCCCCGCCGGTCACCCAGGCTTGGGGACAGCCTGCCCCTGCAGGGCCCATGGGTGCACCAGGTTGGGGCCAGCCTCCCATGGCTAACCCCTTCCAGCCCGGGCCTTACGTCATGATGGGAGGCCCTCCGCAGGGTATGCCGCAGGGTCCACCGCGGCCCCCACCCCGGCCGCCAGTAAAGGAGACCCCAGCTAAGGTGGAACCTAGTGCCTTCATGGCTCTGGACCCCCTGGGAGGGGAGAAGGAGAAGAAGAGTGGGAAGGACATGTTCAAGGACTTCCAGATCGCCAAGCCTCCAGCCATCCCGGCCAGGAAAGGAGAGCAGGCACCCGGTTCCGCCGCACCAAGCACCAATGGAGATGGGGCGTTTGCACAGTACTTCTCCAGCAAAGTGGGCGTGCCCCAGGAGGTTGCGGATCACGACGACTTTGAAATTCAGAGTCGGATTTCAGCGGTTGGCAATGGTAATGGCAGTTATTTTGAATTTTAAATTCCCATCAATTGATTTGGAGAGTATACATGCATTTTAATCCACCTGATTACCCCCTTTCTTCCCTGTCTGTTTCTAGACCCACCCAAACCAGCCCCACGGCACTCTGCACCCATCATGTCTCCTGCAGCGGCCCCCGGGCCAGGGCTCCTGGATGCATTTGCCCCTACTCCAGCCACAGGCCTTGCTCCAGCAGCAGCAGCAGGTCTCAACCAGAATCTATTTGATGACGCATTTGGCGCTGCAACTCCTAATGCCTTTGGAGCACCACTTCTAGCTACGGTATGGATGTACACGCATATACAAACATAAGGGAATTCATCCTATCAACGTTCAATCAATTGATTGTGACGTAATGCTTTGTATCATTATAAAACCTTCATATTTTCCCTTATTGTTATGACGGGACACTCCTGTTGCCCAGACCACTGGTGGCTCGGATCCCTTCGGAGACCCCTTTGGAAACCCCTTTGCCTGAGTGACACGTGAGTGACAGAGATGGATAAAGCATTCTGAACCTTAGACTGTGAATTTAGATATAACTTTAAATCATTTTTGTATTCAACCTGTGCTTTCTCTTCTTCCAGTCAGGTTTGCAGTGGTCCAGAGAATAAGCAGCGATGCTCAACGACCAAATAATGTCTTCAGAACCAGCTGCTATAACTACAAGCGCCAGACAATCTACATGATTACAACTTCTAACCCCTTGCCCACACTGACTAACTCCTCAACTGCCTTTCTTGATGTCCGTTACATAGCCCCTCTTTTTCCCCCAAAACACCTTAACTTTAATGTCTTGCCCAATCAGTAGTAGTTTTGTTTCGGTTCCCATCTCGCATAGCTTTTCAGTACCACTGAATTAAATGTAAAAAAATGAATTGTAATAAAGTGATTATTAGAAAAAGGGATATAAAAAAGAAGGAATGAATGTGGGAGGGATTGTTGGAAGGGAAGGCCCTGGAAATGCTCTATATTAAACACAGAAAAATTAATTCCTTTCAGTGTGGTCTTTTAGGTGTCTTTGCCTATAAAAGTTGTGTTTTCGATATTGTTCTGCTCAGGGAAATATTGTTCAGGTTTAGGAAGGGGGTTATTACTGCATCCCTAGACTACACTCACCTCATGAATGTAACCCTGTTTTAGTATCCCATGTGCTTTTTAGTATAGGCCACTGAAATACGTTTTCATAGAAATTGTGGGGTGCAATGTTTTAATCCACCTATGAAATGAGTGAAGTGGAGTCAGCTCGTCAAAAAATCTGAAACTGGAGAAAGACTGAACACAATTTTAATTCCTACTATATTCTTACTTGGCTTATCCGAGTCAGCGCATAGATACTTTTCCATTGATGCACCTATTTTGGGATGACTGTAAAGCACCTGGCTAAATGTTTTAGACCATCCTAGCCAGTGGAGGCTGCTGAGGGGAGGACGGCTCATAATACTGGCGGAAATGGAGTGTAGTGGCTGGAATGGAGTGAATGGAATGGTATCAAACACATGCAACCCCCCCCCCCCCCCAAAAAAAAAGAATAATCATAATTGTTTACCATTCCGCTAATTGCACTTTGATCATACAACTGGGTTATAATATGTATCTGAATCATTAGTATTTTTTATTTTGCCAGAGTCACTGATGGAAATTATTGGAGACTTTTTAAAAATTAAAATACATGTTTGTGTATTGAAAATCACATTGTACTTTTGTGTTTTAGTTTCGTTTCCCTGATAAAGATTAGAGGGTGAATTTGACTTAAGGTTCCCGTTATGTTTGATAAACCTACTTTACAATCATGTTCTAAATAAAATACATCCAGTGTACTTCCAAATAATATTATGCCTCGATCTCTTTCAGTTGCAGTTTTGTACATAATTTACATTTACATTTATGTTCATTTATATAGGATGATGCTCATATGTACATACACTGAGTAAACAAAACATAAGAACACCTCTTTCATGACAGATTGACAAGGTGAAAGCTGTGGGTGGGTGGGGGCTGCAGTTGCACACTATTGCATATTTTGGAGTTTATCAAAGACAGTACAGTATGAAGATAGGCAGAAACTGCTTCTCCAATAGAAATCCCATATCACACTTGTAGGCGAGGTCATGGCGACGTTGGCTAGCTAAGCTCATGCGCAGAAACATGTCATCTGGTCTAATGGTCATCTCCCACTGAACTGCGCATGTGCAGGGCGTCAAATCAAAGGCACTGCTTCGATTTAAAGTTGGTTTTGACGAAAAATAAAACATGTCAGTTTGTCACTTTCACAAGGCTGGGGTAATAACATATTCAGCTACTTAAGACATTAGCTCGAATCTAGGTTGTGCCTTTAGATTTTGAGAAAATTAACCTCAAAGAATTTTTGACTTCTTAAACCCCAAACCCCGGCCTGGTCTGTTTGGTAAATTCGTTTAACATCTCAAGGAAAATCTGGAATGTGTTGGAGGAAAGTGTGGAGTCAGTGAGAGTCACAAGAAGTGGTCTTATTTAGATTTTGTGTGTGTCTGTGGAGCAGAAGAAGCGTGTTTTAAGACTAAAAAAGATATCTTCTGTGGTCCTCTGTAGCTCAATTGGTAGAGCATGGCGCTTGAAACGCCAGGGTAGTGGGTTCGATCCCCTGGACCACCCATACGTAAAAATGTATGCACACATGACTGTAAGTCGCTTTGGATAAAAGCGTCTGCTAAATGGCATATTATTATATCGGAGTGGAATGTTTCCTGCATGGATTTTCGTAGCAGGGCTCCTATCAAGCGGGTTATTTCTCGGGTGGCGCAAGAAATAAATGCAGAGGATATAACTAAAGACATCGATGGAGTGGTTGGTGCACGTCGACTGACCTGTATGGTGGATGGAGAAAATAAATTCACTTCATCCATGCTACTGTTCTTTGATGAAGAGTCTCTCCCTTCTCATATAAAGTTAGGATTCATGAGATACCCTGTAAGAGCTTTTGTGCACAAATCCCTTCAGTGTCATAAATGTAAAATATCTGGTCATGTGTCAAGTGTGTGCAGAAGGGAAGAGTATCGTATGCCAGATGAAGTGAAATGCTGCAACTGTGGAGGTGAACATGCGCCTGAATTCCTGGAGTGCCCTTTTAGGGTGAAGAAGAATGAGGTGGCACGGGTAAGGAGTGTCCAGCGTGTCTCCTATCTGGAGGTGGTGAGAAGATTGGAAGGAACGACTGGCGGGGAAGAAACAATGGTAGTAGCGTCACCTTGACCAGTAAAGGTTTCTCATTAACCGAGGGATAGTGAAATGCTACATGTTAAAAAGGTGGACTTTGTATTATTTATTGCAATAGTCATAAACTGTACAGCACAAGTGGAGAAGAAGTTTACGAAAATTGAAATCATTGTGAATGAATCTGAAAAAATGTATCTATTACATCTATTACTCCAAAACTACTATTCCCATAATCCCCATCACAAATTAAATTTGACGTCACCGAAAACATCATGGTGGGCTAATGTGTGCGTGGGTGCTAAATTTAGAATAGAACGTCAACCATATGGAATATATCTCTAAAAACGGAATTTAATCACGAAGTTTGTATTTGTATTGACCATGATACTAGCTTGCTACATTACTTTCTAGGTGTATCACTTTTAGCACGCTAAGAATAATGCTCTTTCGCTGTTACTACTCTGTTATAACAAATGCTAGCTAGCTAACATTAGCAAGATAATGCAATTACTTTATCAGATCTCTGTATATGCTCTGACGTTTCTTTTCATGTCATCATCTGTGTCACAGTCTCTCTCTGCAGTAGGACAGAATGCTCCGCAGATCCAGGATCAGTGTTCGGCCCAACGTCAGGCCAGCAGGCAGAGGCCCAGCAGCCCCAGCCTCCTCCCAGGACACTCCTCCATCGACCCAGGCCTCCGAGGCCCCTTCCCAGGCAGGGGGTCAGGAGGTGGACACCGCCACTACTGCAGTGCTAGAAACCTCCACAGAGTCCACCACACCCAGAGAGTGAGGGAAAATCAATCTATCATTAAATCAAATGTATTGTAGTCCCTTTTACAGCAACATTTGTCAATGATTAGTTGCTGCTGGCCAGCTGTCAGAGCTGGTTCTGGAGGTTCGTAACCTCTCATAGGATTTATAATTGTTGTAGAATTGAGAACTGTTCAATGTAACATGGGTTATACACATGAGTAAGCTTGCTTTTTCCCGAACAACCATCCACTGACTGTGTGGTTGCTCACGTATTGCTTGATTGTCACCATTGTTGACCATTTTGTCTTTTGCTATAGGAATGAAAAAGACCCAAGTGGCGAGGCTTCCAGTGGCACCCCCTCAGCCAGTATTCAAAGGAGGAAGAGGTTCTCTGTCGTGCCAAACCTTGCCACACCCCGGGCGGCCGCAAATCTGTCCCTCACCCGCTCCTCCCCCCGGACCTCCAAGTCCCCTGTGAGAGCGGGCACTGAGACCCCAGCCCCTGAGGCTCCAAAGGCCCCAAGCCAGACAGATGCTGGACCCTCACAGGGCATGAGATCCCCAAGGCGGAGGCCCTCTGGAGGTAGTAGGCAGGCCAAAGTACAACCCAAACCCAGCCCCCTGTCCCCATCTTCCCCAGCCCCTGAGACAACAACCCCCTCTCTGGGGAAGCAGGCAGTGGAGGACTCATCCCTGTCACAACAGACCCTGCAGGCAGCAGACAAGGAGGAAACATCCTCACAGGTCACCAAACAAGACAAAGGCAGCATCCAATCAGATCTCTCAAAAAAAACACCAGCCACTAAAGCTCTATCCAATCCATCAGAGAATTTCCCATCATCCTCCCTTCCACGCAAAGAGGGTATCTCAGTATCGGAGAGAGCTAAGACTCTGGCCGCCAGGTCTATGTCTGTTTGGCTCACCGGGTTGGCACCAGGGAAGTCCAGGCTTAGCAGGTTCCTGAATGACCCAACGGACCTGCAGAGGCTGGCCAAGGCCCGGAAGCTCAGAGAACTGCTGAGACAAGAGATGAACAAGGAGAAGGTGAGATTGGTTTCAGTCTCACTGATTTTCTTTAGTTCAGAGATTAAGGCTTGATAATGTAATCTTGTGAAGCTAACACATTATGCATGTTTGATAACACAGACTCTGCACAGAATGTAGGATTATTATTGCAAATTGATAGGTTAAATGAAGCACTTAGCAGCTCCAGGCACTGTGGAGATCTGTTGATCTCTGCACCTCCAACATTCACACTACAGTTGAAGTCGGAAGTTTACATACACTTAGGTTGGAGTCAATAAAACTAGTTTTTCAGCCACTACACACATTTCTTGTTAACAAACTATAGTTTTGGCAAGTCGGTTAGGACATCTACTTTGTGCATGACACAAGTCATTTTTCCAACAATTGTTTACAGACAGATTATTTCACTTATAATTCACTGTATCACAATTCCAGTGGGTCAGAAGTTTACATACACTAAGTTGACGGTACCTTTAAACAGCTTGGAAAATTCCAGAAAATGATGTCATGGCTTTAGAAGCTTCTGATAGGCTAATTGACATCATTTGAGTCAATTGGAGGTGTACCTGTGGATGTATTTCAAGGCCTACCTTCAAACTCAGTGCCTTTTTGCTTGACATCATGGGAAAATTAAAATAAATCAGCCAAGACCTCAGAAATAAATTGTAGACCTCCACAAGTCTGGTTCATCCTTGGAAGCAATTTCCAAACGCCTGAAGGTACCACGTTCATCTGTACAAACAATAGTATGCAAGTATAAACACCATGGGACCACGCAGCCATCATACCGCTCAGGAAGGAGACGCGTTCTGTCTCCTAGAGATGAACGTACTTTGGTGCGAAAAGTGCAAATCAATCCCAGAACAACAGCAAAGGACCTTGTGAAGATGCTGGAGGAAACAGGTACAAAAGTATCTATATCCACAGTAAAACGAGTCCTATATCGACATAACCTGAAAGGCCGCTCAGCAAGGAAGAAGCCACTGCTCCAAAACCGCCATAAAAAAGCCAGACTACGGTTTGCAACTGCACATGGGGACAAAGATTGTACTTTTTGGAGAAATGTCCTCTGGTCTGATGAAACAAAAATAGAACTGTTTGGCCATAATGACCATCGTTATGTTTGGAGGAAAAAGGGGGTTGCTTGCAAGCCGAAGAACACCATCCCAACCATGAAGCATGGGGGTGGCAGAATCATGCTGTGGGGGTGCTTTGCTGCAGGAGGGACTGGTGCACTTCACAAAATAGATGGCATCATGTGGATATATTGAAGCAACATCTCAAGACATCAGTCAGGAGGTTAAAGCTTGGTCGCAAATGGGTCTTCCAAATGGACAATGACCCCAAGCATACTTCCAAAGTTGTGGCAAAATGGCTTAAGGACAACAAAGTCAAGGTATTGGAGTGGCCATCACAAAGGCCTGACCTCAATCCTATAGAAAATGTGTGGGCAGAACTGAAAAACCGTGTGCGAGCAAGGAGGCCTACAAACCTGACTCAGTTACACCAGCTCTGTCAGGAGGAATGGGCCAAAATTCACCCAACTTATTGTGGGAAGCTTGTGGAAGGCTACCTGAAACGTTTGACCCAAGTTAAACAATTTAAAGGCAATGCTACCAAATACTAATTGAGTGTATGTAAACTTCTTACCCACTGGGAATGTGATAAAATAAATAAAAGCTGAAGTAAATAATTCTCTCTACTATTATTCTGACATTTCAAATAAAGTAAAGTGGTGATCCTAACTGACCTAAGACAGGGAATTTTTACTAGGATTAAATGTCAGGAATTGTGAAAAACTGAGTTGAAATATATTTGGCTAAGGTGTACAGTGGGGGAAAAAAGTATTTAGTCAGCCACCAATTGTGCAAGTTCTCCCACTTAAAAAGATGAGAGAGGCCTGTAATTTTCATCATAGGTACACGTCAACTACGACAGACAAAATGAGAAAAAAAAATCCAGAAAATCACATTTTAGGAGTTTTTATGAATTTATTTGCAAATTATGGTGGAAAATAAGTATTTGGTCAATAACAAAAGTGTCTCAATACTTTGTTATATACCCTTTGTTGGCAATGACACAGGTCAAACGTTTTCTGTAAGTCTTCACAAGGTTTTCACACACTGTTGCTGGTATTTTGGCCCATTCCTCCATGCAGATCTCCTCTAGAGCAGTGATGTTTTGGGGCTGTCGCTGGGCAACACAGACTTTCAACTCCCTCCAAAGATTTTCTATGGGGTTGAGATCTGGAGACTGGCTAGGCCACTCCAGGACCTTGAAATGCTTTTTACGAAGCCACTCCTTCGTTGCCCGGGTGGTGTGTTTGGGATCATTGTCATGCTGAAAGACCCAGCCACGTTTCATCTTCAATGCCCTTGCTGATGGAAGGAGGTTTTCACTCAAAATCTCACGATACATGGCCCCATTCATTCTTTCCTTTACACGGATCAGTCGTCCTGGTCCCTTTGCAGAAAAACAGCCCCAAAGCATGATAAATAATAATAATAATAATATGCCATTTAGCAGACGCTTTTATCCAAAGTGACTTACAGTCATGCGTGCATAATTTTTTTTTTTTTGTGTATGATGTTTCCACCCCAATGCTTCACAGTAGGTATGGTGTTCTTTGGATGCAACTCAGCATTCTTTGTCCTCCAAACACGACGAGTTGAGTTTTTACCAAAAAGTTATATTTTGGTTTCATCTGACCATATGACATTCTCCCAATCCTCTTCTGGATCATCCAAATGCACTCTAGCAATCTTCAGACAGGCCTGGACATGGACTGGCTTAAGCAGGGGGACAAGTCTTGCACTGCAGGATTTGAGTCCCTGGCGGCGTAGTGTGTTACTGATGGTAGGCTTTGTTACTTTGGTCCCAGCTCTCTGCAGGTCATTCACTAGGTCCCCCCGTGTGGTTCTGGGATTTTTGCTCACCGTTCTTGTGATCATTTTGACCCCACGGGGTGAGATCTTGCGTGGAGCCCCAGATCGAGGGAGATTATCAGTGGTCTTGTATGTCTTCCATTTCCTAATAATTGCTCCCACAGTTGATTTCTTCAAACCAAGCTGCTTACCTATTGCAGATTCAGTCTTCCCAGCCTGGTGCAGGTCTACAATTTTGTTTCTGGTGTCCTTTGACAGTTCTTTGGTCTTGGCCATAGTGGAGTTTGGAGTGTGACTGTTTGAGGTTGTGGACAGGTGTCTTTTATACTGATAACAAGTTAAAACAGGTGCCATTAAGACAGGTAACGAGTGGAGGACAGAGGAGCCTCTTAAAGAAGAAGTTACAGGTCTGTGAGAGCCAGAAATCTTCCTTGTTTGTAGGTGACCAAATACTTATTTTCCACCATAATTTGCTAATAAATTCATTAAAAATCCTACAATGTGGTTTTCTGGATTTTTTTTTCTCAATTTGTCTGTCATAGTTGACGTGTACCTATGATGAAAATTACAGGCCTCTCTCATCTTTTTAAGTGGGAGAACTTGCACAATTGGTGGCTGACTAAATACTTTTTTTCCCCACTGTATGTAAACTTCCGACTTCAACTGTATGTCTAGATCAGGGATGGGCAATTTTGATGGGGGTGGGGGCCACAAAAAACGGAACTCATCATGAGGGGCCGCAGTGGCTCATGGGTCTGCGTACCCACATCCACCCCTAGTTGCTGGATATTGGTGGGAACTGGAACACGCTGTTGTACACGTTGATCCAGAGCATCCCAAACATGCTCAATGGGTGACATGTCTGGTGAGTATGCAGGCCATGAAAGAACTGGGACATTTTCAGCTTCCAGGAATTGTGTACACATAAGCTTTACAGTATTACAGGAAAACAGAAAGGAAAACGCTAAACACAGCTGCTCATGCTCCAAGGTGATTTTATTGTAACAGCGTTTTGACCCTTAGGTCTTCATCAGGCATCCATCACCCTGGATGCCTGATGAAGACCTAAGGGTTGAGTTCGTCTACAACTCCAGCACCTGTGGAAAGTACCTGGATGTGCCTCTGTTCTTCAGCTTTTGGACATCTTTTATGTAAACAAATTTGTGCACAAAAGTTGAGAGAAATACGTTTTTATGCGTATGGCACATTTCTGGGATCTTTTATTACAGCTCATGAAACATGGGACCAACACTTTACATGTTGCGTTTATATATTTTTTCAGTGTTGCCCATCCCTGGTCTAGATAGTAGCCTAGAGGTTATCTCAGTTAATTCAGTGGTTGCTGTCACTATGTCCAGATGCTAGATGGCAGCAAAGTACACTGCCTGGATTATAATAATATATGCCATTTAGCAGACGCTTTTATCCAAAGCGATTTAGTCATGCGTGGATACATTTTACGGATATCTCTTTACTGCTCCACTGAATATAACCGTGTGTGATGTTTTCAATGTGCAGAAACTGAGGAAAGCCAAGGTGTGTTTGAGTGAATACACACTGGATCCCTCTAAAATGACCATGAGAGACCTCCTATACTACCTGCCTGATACCAACCCCATGACGTAAGGTTATAGGCTACCTTCTGTATAATCTGTGTTAAGAGGGTTTTTCTGAGCCCTAAGATCCCTGTGTTGTGTGTTCCTACCAGGTCCTATCTGGAAGAGGAACCAAGGGAGAAGGAGATTGTTCTGCCACTCACCCCACCAAGAGAAGAGTAAGTAGGTAGATTACAATGGAAGAGGAATGGATCACACAATATAACGAGGTGTGCTATGCTGTTTAACCCAACTTCAACTACCATCTCTGTCCCCCACAGGTCCCCTGAGAGGCCCCCAACGCCAGAGGCTCCGGCTGAGACAGCAAGCCAGAGGGATGAAGAGGATGATGAAGAGGATGATGAGGACGCTGACGATGGGGTGATTGTGCCACGGGTGAAGGTGGCAGAGGACGGGTCTCTGATCATCGATGAGGAGAGGTCAGGGTTTAAAGAAGCTCTCTACGGTTCCTTTTGACGTCAGTAGCCACTTGCCCGTTTTTCATGACTTGTCAGTGTGAGCCATGTTACCTGACTTGGTGTGGGTGTGTGTGTCCCAGTTTGACGGTGGAGGTCCTGAGGCAGAAAGGGCCCAATCCAGCTGATGATGGGGACCCAATCTTTGAGCGTGGCTCCACAACCACCTACTCTAGCTTTAGGAAAGGGACACACATCAAACCCTGGTCCAACAAAGGTACAGTATGACAACCAATCTGATGTGTACTCCCATGCAGAGACATGCAGAGCTAGGCAATATCTACAAGTCTTGCTTAAACCAAACGTGTGTGTGTTTCATCAGAGACTGACATGTTCTTCCTGGCCATCAATATGGTGGGAACAGACTTCTCTATCATTGGACAGCTGTTTCCTCACCGCGGTCGCACTGAGATCAAGGTATGTGTTACCTGTATACGCTATGATATTCTCAAAATTGCCTGTATACGCTATGATAGTCTCAATATTACCTGTATACCATAGAATATTCTAATTATTAGCCGCATAAGAAATTTTTACATTTTTAGTCATTTAGCAGACGCTCTTATCCAGAGCAACTTACAGTTAGTGAATCCATATTTTGTATTATTTAAAAAATTTTATACTGGCCCCCCGTGGGAATCGAACCCACAACCCTGGCGTTGCAAACGCCATGATCTATCAACTGAGCTACATCCCTGCCGGCCATTCCCTCCCCTACCCTGGACGACGCTGGGCCAATTGTGCGCCGCCCATGAGTCTCCCGGTCGCGGCCGGCTGCGACAGAGCCTGGATTCGAACCAGGATCTCTAGTGGCACAGTTAGCACTGCAATGCGGCGCCTTAGACCACTGCGCCACTCAGGAGACTTGAGTGAAGATATTTGCTTTACTCATCTAATATTGTAGATTGGGCTGTATCACTGTAAAACTGTACTAGGCATGGTTGTGTTACTGCAGGTTCATAATTTGGTCTCCTGGTTTTTTATCTTTCAGAACAAGTTCAAGAAAGAGGAGAGAGCAAACAGCTGGAGGATAGACAAGGCCTTCAGTAATTTTGGAAAACTATTTTATCAGAAGCAAATTACTATATTGAGTCATTATAGATGGGATTCGGGAATCAAACTCATGATGGTATTTTCTCTGTTCAGAGGAGAAGCGTAGGCTGGATCTGGAGTTCTTCACTAGCCTCCTGGAGAAGATCTTGGCCGTCGAGGCGAAGAGGAACAAGAAGAACAAGTCCCCCACGGAGAAGAAAGTGATCAAGAAAAAGAAGATGAAACCAAAAGGTAACTAAGATACATTTCCTTGTCTACTTCCTATTGGTCGTGTAGTCAATGCCTGAATTAGTCAATGCCTGAATTAGTCAATGCCTGAATTTCTCAGAGTGGATTTTCTATGTGTTGCATCTCATATGGCATCTCTCACCCATGTAATCTGGTGAAAGTGATGTGATTTCTTGGTCATAATTCATATTAAGAAGGTAGTAATGTCTTCAGCCTCATACACTAGCCATCCTTGCATTCTGTATGGGTCTCAATATCTCTCTGCTCTCTGTCCATCAGAAAATAAAGCAGCGAATCAGCTGAGTGACGTGGAGGAGGAGGGGTCAGATGCGGAGATGTACAGAGACGAGGTGGAGGGAGAGAAGGAGAACGTCTCTAACGAAGGGACCACACCTGCCGCTGACGCCACCACCCCCAAGAGAAAACGCAAAAGGAAGGATGGAGGAGGAGAGTCCTCCCCTGAAAAAGCAAAGGATGGAAAGAAAAAGAAGAGTGATCAAGGTGCAGTAGAACTTCCATGACTTCAACGGTGCTTTTCACAGTAGCCATATAACTCAATTAAAATACACAATATCTAGTAACTAATGATCTGTCTTACTTACTGACGTTGTTGTGTCCTCTGCTTCCTCAGAAGAGGCTGGAGTGCCTGAAGACTGTGAGGCTGGGGCTCCTGAAGGTGAAGTACCTGAGGACCAGTCACCTGCTGAAAGGTAACACGTGCAGTTACCTTCACTATTTCACTATATAGGAGGGGAAAAGTGTTAAGTGCTGAGATATCGCTATTATGTATTTTTTTATTAGTTCAAAGCGAGCAGAAGGGCCAGTGGAAGGAGCCAAGGGTCATGTGGAGATCAAACCAGCCCAGCTGTCCCATGGTCGACCCCAGAGACCCCTCCCTATCCTGGGGAGGAAGTGGGGCCAAGCCAAGCCTAAAGAGAAGGAGAAGGAGAACACTGAAGAAGGGGTTTCTAAGGAACAGGTTGGTCTTTGTCATGGGAGGAAAACTTCATTTAAAACAGCAAATAGAGCTTATATTCTCGTCAACATCATCGTGGACAAAAATCTTCCTGTGGTCATATAATGTATGAGGGCGGCAGGGAGCCTAGCGGTTAGAGCATTGGGCCAGTAACCTTTGAGCAAGACACTTAGGGGTGCCGTACTACTATGGCTGACCCTGTAAAACAACACATTTCACTATACCTATCCGGTGTATGTGACAATAAAACATATAAACTGAGTGTACAAAACATTAGGAACACCTTCCTAATATTGAGTTGTACCCTTTTTGCCCTTAGAACAGCCTCAAATCATCATGGGATGGTCAAAAGCGTTCCACAGGGATGCTGGCCCATGTTGACTCCAATGCTTCCCACAGTTGTGTCAAGTTGGCTGGATGTCCTTTGGGTGGTGGACCATTCTTGATACACACAGGAAACTGTTGAGTGTGAAAAACCCAGCAGTGTTGCAAAAATTTGATTTGATTTCTTGACACACTCAAACCGGTGCGCCTGGCACCTTCTACCATACCCTGTTCAAAGGCACTTAAATATTTTGTCTTGCCCATTCACCCTCTGAAATGACACACACACAATCCAAGTCTCAATTGTCTCAAGGCTTAAAAATCCTACTTTAACCTGTCTCCTCCCCTTCATCTACACTAATTGAAGTGGATTTAACAAGTGACATCAATAAGGGATCATAGCTTTCACTTGGATTCACCTGGTCGGTCTATATCATGGAGGCAGCTCTGCAGAGTCGTCACTAGCTGGCAGAGCCACAGTCATAAAATCTGATTTGAAACCTAACCTTAAACACACTGCTAACCCTAATGCCTAACTCTAACCTTAAATTAAGGTTTGTTTTCATGAATTTTTGCTATATAGCCAATTTTGACTTTGCAGCTGGCCCATCTAGCAGAAATTGCTCAGTTCTGCCTCATCCCAATAAACGGCAACCTGCATAATGCACACCAATCACACAGAATTGTTTATTTTCCATATTAATCTTTAACATTTGTAACATTCTATAAACTCTAAGATTGTTCTGTGAGCCCGTCTGTTTGGTCCAACCTCTATTTTAACTCACTTTCAGGTTGATAAAGATGCTTCGTCTAAAGTCAGCAAAAAGAAGAAGAAAGCTGGTGATGTCTTTTCATCTGAGGGAGAGGAGAAAGAAGCCAACGATGAACCCATTAAACCCACCAGGTAGGCATATACACACACACACACATTGAAGAAGGTCACAGCCATGGATTGTAATCTAACTGTGTGTTTGTAGAATACCCCAAAAGACACAGCTCCTGAATTACCCTGCAAAGGAGGAGGGGGACTCGCCCTCTGACTCTGCCCCCGCTCCTGCCTCAGACGGATCCCCATCCACTTTCTCCTCCTCCACCAAGCCGAAAGCCAAACCACCAACCAGAAGGGCCAGAATCAAACCTGGCCCCGCCCTGCCAGGTAGGAAGGGCCAATCAGCGGCCCGGAAACCCAAGCTGATAACCCTGAGGGCATCCCAGTTTGAAGATGAAGGTGATGATGATGATGAGGAGGGAGTCAGAGAACAGAGAGAGGAGGCGCAGGCCGAGGAGGACCACCACAATCCCACAAGTCCCGGGGAGGAGAACCAGGCGCCAGCGTTTGTTCCTATGAGCCTTCGCTTGCCACAACCCGTCGCCACAGAGGTTGAGGAGACCATGGAGGAGGTGAGAGGGGTGACACAGCTACCATTTTCACACTACTGAGCCGACTTGAGCTGGCCTGGTTACGCATCCACCAAAATTGCTGGAACCGTACTAGAAAGGGCAATGTGAAAATAAAATGTCAGAGCCAGCACAGTGCGATATGGATTGGCTCAATGGTGTGAAAAGGGTAACAGAATCTACAGTCCTGGGGATCTAGATCTTCTCATAATGGATTCACATATCTATTTGTATTTATTTTTTGGTTAATTTACAGTGTATTTGGAAAGTATTCAGACCCCTTGACTTTTTCCACATTTTGTTGCGTTACAGCCTTATTCTAAAATTGATTAAATCGTTTTTTTTCTAATGACAAAGCAAAAACGGGTTTCAAAAAACCCAAAAATATCACATTTACATAAGTATTCAGACTCTTTACGCTGTACTTTGTTGAAGCACATTTGGCAGTGATTACAGCCTTGAGTCTTCTTGGGTATGACGCTACAAGCTTGGCACACCTGTATTTGGGGAGTTTCTCCCATTCTTCTCTGCAGATCCTCTCAAGCTCTGTCAAGTTGGATGGGGAGCGTCGCTGCACAGCTATTTTCAGGTCTCCCCAGAGATGTTGGATCGTGTTCAAGTCCGGGCTCTGGCTGGGCCACTCAAGGACTCTCAGAGACTTGTCCCAAAGCCACTCCTGTGTTGTCTTGGCTGTGTGCTTAGGGTCGTTGTCCTGTTGGAAGGTGAACCTGTCTGAGGTCCTGAGCGCTCTGGAACAGGTTTTCATCAAGGATCTCTCTGTACTTTGCTCCTTTCATCTTTCCCTCGATCCTGACTAGTCTCCCAGTCCCTGCAGCTGAAAAACATCCCCACAGCATGAAGCTGCCACCACCATGCTTCACTGTAGGGATGGTGGCAGGTTTCCTCCAGACGTGACGATTGGCATTCAGGCCAAAGAGTTCAATCTTGGTTTCATTAGACCAGAGAATCTTGTTTCTCATGGTCTGAGTGTCCTTTAGGTGCCTTTTGGCAAACCAAGCGAGCTGTCATGTGCCTTTTACTGAGGAGTGGCATTCGTCTGGCCACTCTACCATAAAGACCTGATTGGTGGAGTGCTGCAGAGATGGTTGTCCTTCTGGAAGGTTCTCCCATCTCCACAGAGGAACTCTGGAGCTCTGTCAGAGTGACCATCGGGTTCTTGGTCATCTCCCTGACCAAGGCCCTTCTCCCCCGATTGCTCAGTTTAGCCGGGCAGCCAGCTCTAGGAAGAGTCTTGGTGGTTCCAAACTTCTTCCATTTAAGAATGATGGAGGCCACTGTGTTCTTGGGGACCTTCAATGCTGCAGAAATGTTCTGGTACCCTTCCCCAGATCTGTGCCTTGACACAATCCTGTCTTGGAGCTCTACGGACAATTCATTCGACCTCATGGCTTGGGGTTTTTCTGACATGCACTGTCAACTGTGGGACCTTATATAGACAGGTGTGCCTTTCCGAATCATGTCCAATCAATTGAATTTACCACAGGTGGACTCCAAGTTGTACAAACATCTCAAGGATGATCAATGGAAACAGGATGCACCTGAGCTCAATTTCGAGTCTGATAGCAAAGGGTCTGAATATTTATGTAAATAATGTTTTTCTTCTAATTATTGTAATTCTTTTAGCAAAAATTTCCCAAAAATGGTTTCCGCTTTGTCATTATGGGGTATTGTGTGTAGATTGATGAAAAAAATAATTGTATCAATTTTAGAATAAGGCTGTAACTTAACAAAATGTGGGAAAAGTCAAGGGGTCTGAATACTTTCCGAATGCACTGTATTATTTTTTGCAGTTAGTTCCATCCCATTGGTTTACACATTCATTCACTCACTGACTTGCTATTCACAAAGCTGCTTTAGTTATTCCTAAACTTTTAAACGCAGCACAACCTTCCCTCTTTATGTCTTTTTATTAGTTTATTTTCAGTTTTATCATGCATGGTTTTTCCATCCTGTAACCTTCCTCCCTGTCCTCCTCTCCTCCACTCACAGCTTGATATCTCCGTTAACCTGCCTGATGTCCTGGCTATTTCCCAGGATGCATTCTGTCCTGACTTGTCATGCGATCAGGCGCAGGGTGAAATGGGCACGGTGCCATGTGAACATCAGTTAGACCTGTTAGTAGTAAGTCATCATGTGCCCTGTCCTGTCTGTCTCGAGTGTCTAAAATCTATTTCCCTATACATCAGGAGTATTCAACCGGGGGAACTGCAGGGGTCCACGAAAATATTATAAAGTGGATTTTTTAAATATATTTTTGGAATGTTTTTATGAATATATATTTTTTTATGATGCCACCTTTATTTCTCAACTCCTAATGTTGAGCAAATTACACTCATTGGAGCCGATTACACTCATTGGAGTATCTGACATGCTTTGAAAAAAAACGTGAATTGGCTACCAGTGCGACAAGTGCTGCTGGTGTGTTTTTATTTGCGCATTGCTAACCTCTGTTTAACCAGCTAAACAGCTGCTCTTAGCGAAAATGTGTTTTGAGTTACTTTTCTAGCTAATAGGCTAGAGTTTGGACCTACACTTCCTCTTCCAATTATTATGTGGGGAGGTCAAAATAATGACAAACTATCTACCAAATCTATTCATTTTAAAATGTTGATTACTTCTCCTTGCCATTATCATTCAGCTAATGATAAGACAAGACGTGAAAAAATATGCTTTTGGTAACGTATGATAGGGGTCCCTGGGCAAGAAAAGGTTGAAGACCCTTCCTATACAGTGCCTTAGGAAAGAATTCAGACCCCTTGACTTTTTCCACATTTTGTTACATTACAGCCTTATTCTAAAATTGATTAAATTATATTTTTTTCATCAATCTACACACAATACCCCATAATGACAAAGCAAAAACAGGTTTTTAGATTTTTTTTGTAAATGTATTAAAAATAAAAAACGGACATATCACATTTACATAAGTATTCAGACCCTTTACTCAGTACATTGTTGAAGCACCTTTGGCAGCGTTTACAGCCTTGAGTCTTCTTGGGTATGACGCTACAAGCTTGGCACACCTGTATTTGGGGAGTTTCTCCCATTCTTCTCTGCAGATCCTCTCAAGCTCTGTCAGGTTGGATGGGGAGCGTCGCTGCACAGCTATTTTCAGGTCTCCCCAGAGATGTTCGATCGGGTTCAAGTCGGGGCTCTGGCTGGGCCACTCAAGGACATTCAGAGACTTGTCCCAAAGCCACTCCTGCATTGTCTTGGCTGTGTGCTTAGGGTCGTTGTCCTGTTGGAAGGTGAACCTTCGCCCCAGTCTGAGGTCCTGAGCGCTCTGGAGCAGGTTTTCATCAAGGATCTCTCTGTACTTTCACTCGATCCTAACTAGTCTCCCAGTACCTGCCCCTGAAAAACATCCCACAGCATGCTGCCACCACCATGCTTCACCATAGGGATGGTGCCAGGTTTCCTCCAAACATGACGCTTGGCATTCAGGCCAAAGAGTTCAATCTTGGTCTCATCAGACCAAAGAATTTTGTTTCTCATGGTCTGAGAGTCCTTTAGGGGCTTTTTGGCAAACTGCAAGCGAGCTGTCATGTGCCTTTTACTGAGGAGTGGTTTCCTTCTGGCCACTCTACCATAGTGGCCTGATTGGTGGAGTGCTGCAGAGATGGTTGTCCTTCTGGAAGGTTCTCCCATCTCCACAGAAGAACTCTGGATCTCTGTCAGAGTGACCATCGGATTCTTGGTCACCTCCCTGACCAAGGCCCTTCTCCCCCGATTGCTCAGTTTGGCAGGCGGACAGCTCTAGAAAGAGTCTTGGTGGTTCCAAACTTCTTCCATTTAAGAATTATGAAGGCCACTGTGTTCTTGGGAACCTACAATGCTGCATACATGTTTTGGTACCCTTCCCCAGATCTGTGCCGCAACACAATCCTGTCTCAGAGCTCTACGGACAATTCCTTCGACATCATGGCTTGGTCTTTGCTCTGACATGCACTGTCAATTGTGGGACCTTATATAGACAGGTGTGTGCCTTTCCAAATCTTGTCCAATCAATTTAATTTACCAGGTGTACTCCAATGAAGTTATAGAAACATCTCAAGGATGATAAATGTTAACAGGATGCACCTGAGCTCAATTTCGAGTCTCATAGCAAAGGGTCTGAATACTTATGTAAATAAGGTATTTCTTTTTATAAATGTGAAATAAAATGGAAAAACCTGTTTTCGCTTTGTCATTATGGGGTATTTTGTGTAGATTTATGAGGAACATTTTTTTATTTAATCCATTTTAGAATAAGGCTGTAACGTAACAAAATGTGGAAAAGGGGAAGGGGGTTTGAATACTTTATGAATGCACTGTACATCACAACCATCCCTGCTTCATTCATGTTGTTATACAATTTTTTGTCATCATAGTATCACATTTGATTTTTTAAGCACTTTTCACAAGGTCTCAGTGTTATATTTTGATCACTGGGTCAAGCACATCAGCTATTTTGCTCCAGATTGTGGCTGTTATGAGGACAAATGTTTTTTTGTTTTCTTCATTCTAGGATGTGAACGACTTCCTGTCTCCAGATAACATGGAAGGTTGGTTGGTCATTTCAAGAGCTGATATCTATTGCATCCTCTTAAGTAAAACATTCAAAAACCGTTCTCCCTCTCACCACTAACTATAGAAGGTTAAACAGTCTCTCTCCTCTGTGTTCTAGTATCTGATCTACCTCTCACCACTAACTATAGAGTGTTAAACAGTCTCTCTCTTCTCCTCTCCTCTGTCTGTGTTCTAGTATCTGATCTACCTCTCACCACTAACTATAGAATGTTAAACAGTCTCTCTCCTCTGTCTGTGTTCTAGTATCTGATCTATCTCTCACCACTAACTATAGAAGGTTAAACAGTCTCTCTCCTCTGTGTTGTAGTATCTGATCTACCTCTCACCACTAACTATAGAATGTTAAACAGTCTCTCTCCTCTGTGTTCTAGTATCTGATCTACCTCTCACCACTAACTATAGAAGGTTAAACAGTCTCTCTCCTCTGTGTTCTAGTATCTGATCTACCTCTCACCACTAACTATAGAAGGTTAAACAGTCTCTCCTCTGTGTTCTAGTATCTGATCTACCTCTCACCACTAACTATAGAAGGTTAAACAGTCTCTCCTCTGTGTTCTAGTATCTGATCTACCTCTCACCACTAACTATAGAACGTTAAACAGTCTCTCTCCTCTGTGTTCTAGTATCTGAGGAGAGCTACAACGAGGCAGCTAGAACCTTACTGGCCATCAGCAACCTCACCCACCTGTCTCAGGCTGCTGAGGCCTTTACTGCAGGAGCAGATTATTTCATCACTGAAGAATGTTCCAATGAGGAACAACCGTACCAAATGTCACCACAGCCCACTGACCAATCACAAACTAGCACCACTCCTTCTGAATCTCTGACCCCTGACCTTTGGGTCACTGAGGCATCACAGACCGCTGAGGATTCTGTCCCTGTTGCCACGTCAACAGCCTCTCTCCCAGTCTCCAAGATATCAGCCTATGTTGCAGTCACTATGACAACAACCACATCTGTCCCAGTCACCACGACGACAAAAACAGCCTCTGTCCCAATTACCATGACAACAGACTCTGTCCTAGTCACCACGACAACCGCCTCTGTCCCAGTCACCACGACAACATCCTTTGTCCCAGTCACCACGACAACATCCCCTGTCCCAGTCACCACGACAACATCCTCTGTCCCAGTCACCACGACAACATCCTCTGTCCCAGTCACCATGACAACAGCCTCTGTCCCAGTCACCACGACAACAGCCTCTGTCCGAGTCACCACGAACACAGCCTCTGCCCAAGTGCCTCAGAGCAGTGAGGCAACTCAGGAAACCACACCCACAGAGGAGGAGTCCCTCAGACAGTGGGAGGGAATGGTTATTGGACACGCCTCTCATGTGGAATCATGTTCAGAGGTGTCCAAGCAGCAGACGACCTCACAGACCAGGAGGAGCCACTTCCCTAAGGTCAAACCCAACCTGGGCCGGGCTGCCAGGACCACACAACCCAAACCAACACGTCCTATAGAAAATACTACCACACAACCCAAACCAACACGTCCTATAGAAAATACTGCCACACAGGCCAAACCACCACAGTATACCATCACACAATCAGAACCACCACCACAGCCTATGCTGAATATCACCGCAACCTCAGAACCACAGCCTACCAAGAATATCACCACAGAACCACCACTGCCTACCGAGAGTATTACCACAGAGTCAGAACCACAGGCCAAACAGAGAAGTACCACACATGCCAAGCCACAGCCCACTGCAAATATCATCACACACAGAGAACCACAGACCATTCAGAGGACCAGAGTAGCCCATTCAAAGCCACAGTGTACACAAAATATTACTACGCTCACAGAACCACCCCAGCCCACACTAGATACCACCACACAGTCAGAACCACCCCAGCCCACACTAGATACCACCACACAGTCAGAACCACCCCAGCCCACAGTAGATACCACCACACAGTCAGAACCACCCCAGCCCACAGTAGGTACCACCACACAGTCAGAACCACCCCAGCCCACAGTAGGTACCACCACACAGTCAGAACCACCCCAGCCCACACTAGATACCACCACACAGTCAGAACCACCCCAGCCCACAGTAGATACCACCACACAGTCAGAACCACCCCAGCCCACAGTAGGTACCACCACACAGTCAGAACCACCCCAGCCCACACTAGATACCACCACACAGTCAGAACCACCCCAGCCCACACTAGATACCACCACACAGTCAGAACCACCCCAGCCCACAGTAGATACCACCACACAGTCAGAACCACCCCAGCCCACACTAAATACCATCACAAACACACTCTCAGAACCACAGTCCGGCCCAAGTCTTGAGCAGCCAGGCCCAGGTACACGCAGACCCAGAGCCCCGGTCCCAGAGTCACCTCTGAGGTCATCAGAAAAGGAGAAAGGTTGCGATGGCCCAAAGGAATATACTTCCTCCTCCCTCAGTGCTGTAGGGTCTCAGTCCAAACAGACTGGTCCTCCAACCCGCAGGGCCCGTTTACCTAAACCCAAACCCAACCTGGGACGCACCGCCAGAGCCACCACACGCACTGCATCCCAGGTACCAGAAAGCAGAAACTGCCCTGTAGCCCAGATACCAGATGTGGCTACCAGGCCCAGCTCTGAAGTCCAGAGACCAGTTACTGGACCCTGCGCTGAAGTCCAAACACCAGGGGAGGCTGATGAGGTTCCCATGGAAATACAACAGATTCACCAAGTCATCCCCCTTACTGACATCATTGATGTTACCCAGGTAAAGTTATTATAAATATCAGCTATTAGTTTAGCCATAAGTGCTATTTTACAATTCAACGTGTTCCAAGAAAAATGTCTGATTTTCTTCCGGTTGCATTACGGTGATATAGGTAACGTCCTCAACATAGGAATGACCAATATCAATATTCAGACTATGGTGTCACTGCAGAAGAATAAAAAGGAAGGTTCTAAGTAATGAGTGTCTGATCTGTGTGCCTTTGATGTTTGTATTCATAGGAGGAAATACAACCGATTCACCAAGTCATCCCCCTTACTGACATCATTGATGCTACCCAGGTAATTAATTAATTGTACCACAGATGTTAATTAATCCTACCACAGATGTCTGGTTGCGTGTGGAAATGTGCTCCAAAAATGTGTGTGTGATGTTTGTATTGACAGGAGGATACATCTCTCCTAACGGATGGAATCTTCTTCTCTCAACAAAGTGATGCTCTCATCACACAGCATTCAGAAAGTTCTGGATCAACTGTTCTGTTGGACCCGGCCCAGCCAGACCCTGATGAGCCCATCTTCATCCTCTCCCTGACTGAAATCCCTTTCTTCCCCACGGGGGAGGAGTATGGCTGTACGTCCCAGACCCTCTCCGAGCCTCTCTCTTTTCTACCGGTCGCAGACACATGCTCTCAACTGCAGCAGAGGTTAGTGCCTGTCTGTCAGTCTTCACAAACCCTGTATACTTAGTTCCCCTCCCCCCCAGATGCAATTTACAGTGGCTTGCGAAAGTATTCACTCCCCTTGGGATTTTTTTATTTTGTTGCCTTACAACTTGATTTTTTGGGGGTTTGTATCGTGCCTACCACTTTGAAGATGCAAAATATTTTTTCTTGTGAAACAAACAACAAATAAGACAAAAAAACAGAACTTGAGCGTGCATACAGTGAGGGAAAAAAGTATTTGATCCCCTGCTGATTTTGTACATTTGCCCACTGACAAAGACATGATCAGTCTATAATTTTAATGGTAGGTTTATTTGAACAGTGAGAGACAGAATAACAACAAAAAAATCCAGAAAAACGCATGTCAAAAATGTTATAAATTGATTTACATTTTAATGGGGGAAATAAGTATTTGACCCCTATGCAAAACATGACTTGGCAAAACCCTTGTTGGCAATCACAGAGGTCAGACATTTCTTGTAGTTGGCCACCAGGTTTGCACACATCTCAGGAGGGATTTTGTCCCACTCCTCTTTGCAGATCTTCTCCAAGTCATTAAGGTTTCGAGGCTGACGTTTGGCAACTCGAACCTTCAGCTCCCTCCACAGATTTTCTATGGGATTAAGGTCTGGAGACTGGCTAGGCCACTCCAGGACCTTAATGTGCTTCTTCTTGAGCCACTCCTTTGTTGCCTTGGCCGTGTGTTTTGGGTCATTGTCATGCTGGAATACCCATCCACGACCCATTTTCAATGCCCTGGCTGAGGGAAGGAGGTTGTCACCCAAGATTTGACAGTACATGGCCCCGTCCATCGTCCCTTTGATGCGGTGAAGTTGTCCTGTCCCCTTAGCAGAAAAACACCCCCAAAGCATAATGTTTCCACCTCCATGTTTGACGGTGGGGATGGTGTTCTTGGGGTCATAGGCAGCATTCCTCCTCCTCCAAACACGGCGAGTTGAGTTGATGCCAAAGAGCTCGATTTTGGTCTCATCTGACCACAACACTTTCACCCAGTTCTCCTCTGAATCATTCATGTTCATGTTCATTGGCAAAGTTCAGACGGGCCTGTATATGTGCTTTCTTGAGCAGGGGGACCTTGCGGGCGCTGCAGGATTTCAGTCCTTCACGGCGTAGTGTGTTACCAATTGTTTTCTTGGTGACTATGGTCCCAGCTGCCTTGAGATCATTGACAAGATCCTCCCGTGTAGTTCTGGGCTGATTCCTCACCGTTCTCATGATCATTGCAACTCCACGAGGTGAGATCTTGCATGGAGCCCCAGGCCGAGGGAGATTTTGTGTTTCTTCCATTTGCGAATAATCGCACCAACTGTTGTCACCTTCTCACCAAGCTGCTTGGCGATGGTCTTGTAGCCCATTCCAGCCTTGTGTAGGTCTACAATCATGTCCCTGATGTCCTTGGAGAGCTCTTTGGTCTTGGCCATGGTGGAGAGTTTGGAATCTGATTGATTGATTGCTTCTGTGGACAGGTGTCTTTTATATAGGTAACAAACTGAGATTAGGAGCACTCCCTTTAAGAGTATGCTCCTAATCTCAGCTCGTTACCTGTATAAAAGACACCTGGGAGCCAGAAATCTTTCTGATTGAGAGGGGGTCAAATACTTATTTCCCTCATTAAAATGCAAATCAATTTATAACATTTTTGACATGCGTTTTTCTGGATTTTGTTGTTGTTATTCTGTCTCTCACTGTTCAAATAAACCTACCATTAAAATTATAGACTGATTATTTCTTTGTCAGTGGGCAAACGTACAAAATCAGCAGGGGATCAAATACTTTTTTCCCTCACTGTAACTATTCACCCCCCCAAAGTCAATACTTTGTAGAGACACCTTTTGCAGCAATTACAGCTGCAAGTCTCTTGGGGTATTTCTCTATAAGCTTGGCACATCTAGCCACTGGGATCTTTGCCCATTCTTCAAGGCAAAATTGCTCATGCTCCTTCAAGTTGGATGGGTTCCGCTGGTGAACAGCAATCTTTAAGTCATACCACAGATTCTCAATTGGATTGAGGTCTGGGCTTTGACTAGGCCATTCCAAGACATTTAAATGTTTCCCCTTAAACCACTCGAGTGTTGCTTTAGCAGTATGCTTAGGGTCATTGTCCTGCTGGAAGGTGGACCTCCGTCCCAGTCTCAAATCTCTGGAAGACTGAAAAAGGTTTCCGTCAAGAATTTCCCTGTATTTAGCGCCATCCATCATTCCTTCAATTCTGACCAGTTTCCCAGTCCCTGCCGATGAAAAACATCGCCACAGCATGATGCTGCCACCACCATGCGTCACTGTGGGGATGGTGTTCTCGGGGTGATGAGAGGTGTTGGATTTACGCCAGACATAGCGTTTTCCTTGATGGCCAAAAAGCTCAATTTGAGTCTCATCTGACCAGAGTACCTTCTTCCATATGTTTGGGGAGTCTCCCACATGCCTTTTGGCGAACACCAAACGTGTTTGCTTATTATTTTCTTTAAGCAATGGCTTTATTCTGGCCACTCTTCCGTAAAGCCCAGCTCTGTGGAGTGTACAGCTTAAAGTGGTCCTATGGACAGAAACTCCACAATCTCAGCTGTGGAGCTTTGCAGCATCTTCAGGGTTATCTTTGGTCTCTTTGTTGCCTCTGATTAATGCCCTCCTTGCCTGGTCCATGAGTTTTGGTGGGCGGCCCTCTCTTGGCAGGTTTGTTGTGGTGCCATATTCTTTCCATTTTTTTATAATGGATTTATTGGTGCTCCGTGGGATGTTCAAGGTTTCGGATATTTGTGTATAACCCAACACTGATCTGTACTTCTCCACAACTTTGTCCTTGACCTGTTTGGAGAGCTCCTTGGTCTTCATGGTGCCGCTTGCTTGGTGGTGCCCCTTGCTTAGTGGTGTTGCAGACTCTGGGGCCTTTCAGAACAGGTGTAAAAATACTGAGATCATGTGGCACTTAGATTGCACCCAGGTTAACTTTATTTAACTAATTATGTGACTTCTGAAGGTAATTGGTTGCACCATATCTTAAATAGGGTCTTCATAGCAAAGGGGGTGAATACATATGCACGCACCACTTTTCCATTATTTATTTTTTTGCATTTTTTGAAACAAGTAATTTTTTTCATTTCACTTCACCAATTTGGACTATTTTGTGCATGTCCATTATATGAAATCCAAATGAAAATCCATTTAAATTACAGGTTGTAATGCAACAAAATAGGAAAAACGCCAAGGGGGATGAATGCTTTTGCAAAGCACTGTATCTCCCATATGAATGTACATTATCTCGCCCATATAATGTGAAAGAAAGAAGATAGAGGAGGAGAGAGACGAAGAGAGAGAGAGAAGAGAGGAGAGAGAGAGAGAGAGAGGGGAGAGAGGAGGAGAGAGAAGGAGAGAGAGAGAGAGAAGAGAGGAGGAGAGAGAGAGAGAGAGAGAGAGAGGGGAGAGAGAGAGAGAGAGAGAGAGAGAAGAGAGAGAGAGAGAGAAAAAAAAGAGAGACAGAAGAGAAGGGAGAGACGATAAAAAGAGAACAAAAAGAAAAAGAGAGGGGAGAGCGGTCTAAAGACGGGAGGGGGGAGACAAAAAAAACCATCTTCTCTCTCCCCCAATCTATCTCTCTCCCCCCCCCCCCCCATCTCTTCTTTAGCCGGCTCTCTCGTTATGCCTCTCGGTCGTTCGTAACCTTGACATGTCCCTCTCTTCTCCTTCAGCAGTGATATTGTTGCTCCTGGAGGTGGTATGGAGGAAGGGTGTGCTGGTATCCTCTGTAAAGTCCCTGAGCCCATGTCAGTGGATGAGGTCCTCTCTCAACCCACATACCCCAGTATCAAGGAAGTGGAGTCTGGCTCCACAGCAGGCCCAGTAGATGTGTGTGCCTCCATGGCTGATGCGGAGACTAGGGAGGACACAGATCCTCCTTGTAAGAAGAGGAAACTGCCAGAGAGAGCCAGGAGAGGTGGGCACAGAATACACAGTAGTTGTACATCTAATACAATGTTTAACAGACACGTTTTTCCATCGTTTGTTCATTCATTCAATTCCCTTCATCATCCAACCTCATCATCCATCATCCACCAGCCTGCTATCATCCAGCCATCAGCCCGACCAGCATCAGCAAGCCATCCTCGATCCTCCAGCCGCTCATCCAGACCCAGCACCAGCCATCCATCCATCCATCCTGAGACCAGCAAGCCTTCTTCACTACCATCAAGCTACCATCCTCTAGCCAACCATCCACCTTCCATCTATCATCTATCCATCCTTCGTAGCATCCAGCCATCCTTTTCTTCTATCCACTCAATTATCCATCCTTCTATCCAAGCATCCATCCTTCTATCCATCCACCCATCCTTCTATCTATCTATCCATCCTTCTATCCATCCACCCATCCTTCCATCTATCTATCTATCCATCATTCTATCTATCTATCCATCCTTCTATCCATCCATCCATCCTTCTATTCATCCATCCATCTATTGTATTGGGTAATATTTTCTTCATATAGTTCTGTCTGTCTGTGTGAACTAGACAAACTGCAGGTGAGAGCTAACACAGCAGTAAGGAAACAGCCCAGTCGTTTGGCCCCAGCCAAGGAGTCTGTGTCAGCCTCCACCCCAGACCATACCACCACCCCAGAAACGGACCACTCCACATCCTCCACCCCAGACCATACCACCACCATCCCAGAGACGGACCACCCCACAGCCCCCAGCCCCCCAGCCCAGCAAGGTCCCTCCGTCACAGGAACAGCATCAGGAGAGGTGGCGGCTGAGGAGCCACAGCAGGAGATTGTGGGCCGTTTAGACCTCCCAGAGACAGAGGAGGACACACCCACTGGAGGGGACGAGATGGAGGACAGTAGGTCAGGGGCGGAGTCTCGGGCTGCCCGTCAAATGACACCGCTGGCTACAAGTGGCCCCTTGAGCAGGTGAGGATTCTAATACCTGTCAATCTCTCCATCTGTTCCAGTTTGTACTATCTATTAGTTGTAAACATCTCAATAAAAGTAGCTTAAAGGACCTCATGTTGAATTATAGTTGTTGATTGACAGGACACATTCGATTGTCTTCCATTGATTAGATTGATTGATTAGGAATATATATTGATTTAATTCCTTTAATAATCCTTCCCTCTATAGGCCTGGTAGAAGACCCAGAGGATTTATTTCTTTCATGTTCAATAAGACCAGCACCCCTGCAGCTGCCCCCTCTGCCCCTCCTCGAGGGCACAGAGCAGCCCCTCAGAGGCCCCAGGTCAACACCACCCAGCCAGGGGGGAAACGGGCGGCGCCAGCCCCCTCCACCACCAGAACCATGCCTGCCCTCTCAACCAGAAACACCACCACTAGATCCACCAGAACCGTCACTGGGCCAGACAGTTCCCCCAGGGTGACCTGGGAACAGCCCTCTGATGTCCAGGCCTTCCATTCAGACCCAGAGCCCAGTACCTCCCAATGTACTACAACTAAGAAGGTAAAGAGATGGACAACATGTGGTGATATTTTACCTCTGCAAAATTGCACTGAACTCCGCAAAAAACATCGACCTACCGTTGTGGGAATAATCTTGTACGATCAGACACAGAACTGTTATTGTGCCTCTGTCCTACTCTCTCTCTCTCCCTCTCTCTCCCTCCCCATCTCTCTCTCTCCCACTCTCTCTTTCTCTCTCTCCCTCCCCATCTCTCTCTCTCTTTCTCTCTCTCCCTCGCCATGTCTCTCTCCACCAGCCTTCTCAGGTGCCAGCCACCCAGCCATGTGCGTCTCCCTGTGTAGACAGATATTCAGCAGACGAGGAACCCATCAACGTGTCCCAGTACTTCTTCAGTGACATCTTCACTGAGGTTGAGGAAAGTGAGGGATGAGAGAAGGAGAAAGGAGGAGTAAGTGAAAGGAGAACAGGAAGGCACGCTCGGTTTGAATCAAACTGTATTTTTTTATTTATTTTTTATCCTAGAAAGATTGCACTTGAGAAAAAAATGGTTTCTTTTAACATATGTTTGTGTATGTAGCACTAAAATGATGTCTCTGCTTGTGGTTATGCTGTTTCATGCTTGCAGTGAATAGATTTGGCCACAAGATGGCAACAGGGAAACCAAACAAGTGAACATTTCTCTTCAAATCAATAATTTTTGGTCCAAACTGGCACCTAGAAGCTTTGCCAATTTCCCATATTGGACGATTATATTTTGGGCCCTTTCACCCAAATCATATCTTCTAGCCTTTTGGGTAATCTATATATTCTAATTTATATTTATTTGGTTATATTTTTTCAAACCTCACTAAACTAGACATTAATGGTCATTTTTCTCTGTCTGCATACAGCAGAATACTTGAAATCAGTGTTAACTCACTCTTCTACATCGTACAGTTTGGCAGTTTGCTCAGGGACTTTCACATTCAGATTTGTGTTCTTATTTGAAGCATTGTTTACTTTTAAATCGGAAACCATTGTCTTAAAATGAGCATTGTGTATATATGTTTATTTTAATGTAGATCAGATATACTGGAGGGGTTGTATTCCCTGAGCAGTTACAGAACAAGACCCAGTTTGAGGGACAGCACAGTGATATCAACACTTGTTTCTTTATTTCATGCTACCTGAAGATACAGACATTTTACATTTTAGTCATTTAGCAGACGCTCTTATCCAGAGCGACTTACAGTTAGGGAGTGCATACATTTTCATACAGGAAATATATTTTCAAATGGCTCTGTACAGAAACCTCTCATTTAATACATGTACAAGTGACAAACTCACAGAAACCGTGCACAGATCATGAGTCCAATTTCAGTTCTCAATGATTTATTATGTTCTGCAGCCACTGTTCAAACTAATGTAGCTGTTACGTAGCGCATGTAAAATATGTGAATAAAGTTTTAAATGTTAATGTCTCCTTTAGTGTAATGTCTTGCGACATTGTAGAAAACGGAGTATAGAAAAGTAAAAAATGTGATAAGAACGATCAGAGGGTACTTGAAACTGGACAAGTGTAGAACAGTTTTGACATTAATCTTCTGTCAGTTGACCACCAGGAGGCAGTCCTGCTGCACACTAAACACTGATTTTTGCAGACCACCAATACAACCTATTAAGAACCTTATGTCCTCATAAGAAATCTGTTACAACGTTTTTCAAAAAACATTGTGCCGTTATTCTGAAGAGGATAGCATTGATATCTCCTTAGTTAGGCTCAACAGAAATGAAGAGAGCACATGATCTCAAAAGCCTTAAAAGTGCAAAGAAAACTTCAGCATTTGAGTGTAGTCTTTTTTTGCTGTGTGCGTGCGTGTGTAGGGGGGGTGGAGGAGGAATGTGCAGATGTTTAATTTCCAAGCAGCATAGAGAAGCAGGGAGATCGAAGAGACGAGGCTGCATGTTACTAGGTGACCTCACTACATAAATATTTTGCCTTCTCACAGGCAGCCCTTATGTAGTGCCACTCTACTTTTGGTCCATGTTGAGTAGGGATGTAAAGGAATGCACTTTTATAGACCCCCTGCTATTGAATTCATCAGAGGTTATCCAACTGTTTCTGTTCTGCCTTAAAGATGTGAAATAAACACTGCATTACTTGCCAATCAATGTTTTAAGCCAGTATGAACTCATCACTAATAATGTCTGTCTCTGATTATGAACATGCATGCAATGGTAAATTGTCATGAAAAATTGTGTGGATAACACCGAACCACTAATTGTGGCGATAAACTAAATACTGTAATTAAGTGCACAGTGTAATCGGGAGCCAATTAAGTCAAAATATAGGGAATAATTGAAGTGTATTATCCTCCAGGGAAGAAGTGGTAGAGCTTCCCTTGGTAGTGGATGTTCAAGGGAATCCACATCCAGGGTCCAGTCTGGGTGAATTACACAGGTGTATTTCATTTGTACTCCTGGGTCCTGCATACCATGTGCACGGTCATGAATTTGGTACGTCGACTTCCGTTATTCACTACAAGAAACAGACAATGGAATCTACTTGTGCATCCCAATAATATCTCATTTTTCCTGAAGTGTACCCTCGTTCACTACTTACCACAAATCTAAAAGCATTGGATTGGTGGAGGCATGGCATGGACTAGTGGGAGTTTCCACTATATACCAGTCGTTTCTTTTCAAATCAGTGAAGGGAAGTGAACAAGTGCACACAGTTTGAGAAGGATAGATAATTGGGACTGCCCAACCCTGTTCCTGGCGAGCTACCGTCCTGTAGGTTTTTGCTCCAACCCTAATCTAGCACACCTAATTATAATAATTAGCAGGTTGATAAAATGAATTAGGTTAGTAACACCTGGGGATGGAGCGAAAACCTACAGGAGGGTAGCTCTCCAGGAACAGGTTTGGCAACCCTGGCCTACATTTACATCTCTAGGGTTTTAGTACATTCAGATATCCTCATACTAGTAGTCATTCAGTGGTAGGCCTATCTGCACCGCCACCACCATTGCATACCGGTGTCGTACACTGCAAACTAAATCGAGTGCACCTAATGGGCGAATTCGATTATGCTGAGCTGCGGGGCACCGGTCTATGGCCCGTGACGTGACCGAGCAAACGCGGTGAGGGGGGAGCGGCAATGTCAAATCGAACAGTAATCTGCGCCGCTCCGTCATGTTGTCAACAAGGCAGCATGGTACATCGTTCAGAAACATGCAATACCTCTTTTCCATATAATTAATGTTTGAATTTTCTAAATCGTTTTCATTTTGAAACGTGAACACAGAATCCTACTCACTACTACACGTGCTTAATTACGTCACTTTTGTTTTAAGTCGATTTCGCTGTCGGACAGAGCGGGGCACCAAGTTCACGCCCTGGAAGCAACCCGGTTTCAAACTCAATGGAATCAACTTTCAGCCGGTGCAAAACACGCTTACACTGGCGCCCGGGCAAGATTAATCAAATCCCCTAAATGTTTAGAGGTTGGCTCAACTGGCCTTCGCTCTGATTGGAGAAACTGTCTCTCCCAGACAGAGGGGGACCTTGAGTTACCGCAGACTGCCGAATAAGCACGGAGCAGTCTGGCTGTACAGTACTGCATCTGTAATGGGGGGCCTGGCCCCGAACCAACAGCTAGCTAGCTAGTTAAAGACCGTGGCAGTCGGGTCAACGCAGCCGTGTATGGGGTTCTCTCCCCGCAGGGCTGCTTGCCGTTTTTACTAGCTACACGTTTGCAACATTGTTGCAGTAAAATTTCAGCAGCGCCAGCTAGCCTCGCCATCGCTAGCTGGCTAGCGAACTAATTGAAACTACTTTAGTATAACGGGGCTTCAATCTGTAAGTACATTAAATAATAATGAGCTGTTCGATTTTACTTTGCAAATCTAGTTAGTTAGCTAGCCAGTAGCAACTTAATTGTGTGTTAGCAGACGTTTGTTTTATTTTGCCGGTCTAGCTAGCTAGTTAGCTAGCTATGTGGGTTATCTAGCTAGCTCACTAACTAGCGAGCTGCCAAGCTGGCATGGCATTTTGGTGTTGCACTGTCATACAGCGCGAGCCACCCCTAGCTAGCAGTTTCAGCCGTAGACTGAATGCAAACCACTTTCTTTGTTTGAGAGGCTAGCAAGCAAGACGGCAAGTACAGATTGCTTGACGCAAACGGTAGATTATTGCTTTCAATATAGATGCAGACCAGCAAGTTGCACGCTTATGCAGCTTAATCGGTATTTTAATTTGGTAGTTAGCTATATTTTGGATATTATATTACTTGACACATTACGATATTAACTGTAACAATCACAATATAGCGAGGTGTATTGCTGTTGAATGATACATGTGTGAAGCACCAGCAGGTGCTCATTCAGGGACTGCATTAATCTGTATTTAGACCCAAAATGAAAAAGATGAAGTCCTTTTTTTTTTGTCGGCCTTCTGCACACATGAATGTGATCATAAGCTCTTACTGCATGGCGCATTACTATGCATTGAGATGCGGCTTATTGTATGTATAGTGACTGTCACTGAGTGCTTGATGCTTCTTCAATTATGTCTGTAGTGCACTTATGATAAAAAATATGTATATATATTTATCTCGCAGTCCCACACTTGCCCTGATGCCAGACTGACTATGCAGTAGAAATGCGGCTCTTGCAGATAATCAAGGTAAGATTTGATGCTGCCCTGTTAAAATTCACAGATCACAACCTAACCACAGATAGGCTAATTAAAATCAACATATTGTCACATGGAGCTATAGGCTATTGCTTTGACGTGTTGCTATATTGTTTTATCATAATTTGCTCAATATGTATTGTCTGTGTATTCAAGACTAAAGGGGAACAGTATTGCGATTGGCAATATAATATGCAGTTTAAACAATGTATGCCAAGTATTATGACTGTCACAGAATCTAACCAATGGTGGAAGGAACCTATAACCAAATCAGAGCATCACACTAATCCAGCACCAATCAGATGCTGTAATGATACCAGCGTGCCTTCCCTTGTCCAATCAGAGTAAGCAGCAGCAGTATACCGGTATTTATGACCCAATCACAGCTTTAGCTGGTACAGTATCATCACTACTGCTCAGCATTGAACAGGGCTCTGACCAGTTATATAAATCCATGGCTCCGACGCAGCACTGTCTATGCTAGCTCAAGGCTGCCTGTGGGTTCAGTGGGTTCGAGACAGCCTCAGTGCAAGTGCAGTGGACTGCCGCTGGGGGGAAAATGTGACCTCGTTTGACTGGTGTTGCCTGGAGGTGCTCCAAGCTGCAGACTGGGAAGTAAAGGACAGTCTGTTTTAAACAGGTGGCCTTCCCTACTGCCTCTACTTTACTGTACTGTAAATATCACATGTGCATTTACTTAAACAGCTAAGTCATGTTAAACTCCTAAGTCGTGGTAAAGAA